GGAATTAAAAATCTCTTTACACGTTCAGCAGATCTCAGTCATCTCACAGATCAAGAATATGTAGCAGTTTCACAGGTAAGCCTTCCAAAATTATTTGCTACTTGGATTATCATAGTACATAAATGGCCCAGGCAAGAGACTATGTCATATACACTTACAGGTGCACTAACAGGAAAGGACCTCATCTGCCAAATATGTGCAATCCACACACCTTAACCAGTATGGATCTCGCTTCAAGCATGAAGTGTACCTAAGTGGCAGTAATATTTCATAGGTTTTCAAAACAAAGTTAACCCATCAAAGGAGGAAAGCTCTGCCTGAAGAAGAATATGGTTGGCAAGGAATGAGTACAATTGAACAATAACAGGAGCAAGAAAGACATTGAAAATGACAGTCAAATTGGAAAAGCCAGAGGGAGGGAGGGAGCAAGAGAATGAAGGAAAGAAGGCAGAAAGTGAGGGAAGCAGGCAGGAAGAAAGGAAAGAAGGAGGGAAAGAAGGAGAAAAGGAGGAAGGGAGGGTGCCTCCCTCCCTTCAGGTATTTGTATTCTATCAGAAAGCAAGCTTCTAAGCTACTGGTGATGCTGTTGCAAGTCTCCCTACACCAAATCCTTACAGAAGCCTTTGTGATTTGCCAAAACTGTTAATAGGTGGTATGATAAACACCTCTATACAAGTTGCAAAAATACTAAGCCCTGAACTAGAGTTTTTAAAATTGTGCTGGTTTAACAAAATAACCTTTCTGGTAAAACATAACATCCTAACAATAAATATGTAACAGATAAAATCACAGTAATTTTCAGTTTGGTATAAACTATCTCACTTTTGTGAAACACAGTGGCAATCTGCAGTGCTTTTCTCCCTTTCTCTTAATCATACAACTATTTCATGCTGATTGCCAGCAGTTAACTCTATTGAGTTATGAAAAAATCATACTTGAGTAAGTGCTTGCTGAAATTCAAAGTAATATATTCATCAGCTACAAAGTGCCAGAGGAGCATCCTGTCCCTGTAAATAATGGAATCCAGCTTCATTATTTAAGAATGTTTAGCAGAGAGCTCAACACTGATGAAGTCCTTCAACTGCCTTTACATAAGTCAGTCTTAGAATTAGGAGTCTGGGAGTTGGGAATGCACTAGCTGCCTAAGCAGCTCACCGATACAGATCCAAACACAGAGACAGTGCCCAGAAATACATGCAAGCTGAAAGAACAAAAATGGGAAAGTACCACACCTTGCCAGGCCACAGTTTCAATGGGGAGGGAAGATCCTCAGCCCAATCCAGGATTGTACCTCATTGCTTTACATACTTACTCTGTGCTATGAAATATAGAAATTAAAAACATAGAGGAAAAAAAAAGCCAAGATGATTGGCAAACTTGCCCAAGCTCTCACAAAATCAACTGTGAATTACATATCCAGCCAGTCAGTTTTTGTGACTGATGAAACAGACTTCACACTTTTGAGAAACTCTCCCTTGTTAGATGTCAAAAAGGAGCACTATACAAATGCAATGGTTGCTTCATGCTACCACTTGCAAGTACAAAACCTCTATGCTCAGAAATGTAGAAAAGCATACTAGCATCCACACTGTTAAGTACTGTGGTCATGGTGGTTGTACTATCCCCTCTGCTGCTAAAGTAGACAGCACAAGGGTCTACCAGTCTAGCAGATAGAGCTAGATTGCACAGGCCTACTCCTTGTAATCCTTAATAAAAGCCTATTTAAACTGAGCGCCTTGCACTTGGAAAAACATTTGTCATGTTAATATTTATCTCTGTCACATAGCTTATTTCTAAATTGCATTTCAGGTTGTCCAAAAGGCAGTAATTGAAGTGGATGAAGAAGGAACTGAAGCCACAGCAGCTAGTGGGTCAGAAATAACTGCATTCACAGTGCCTCCTGTCATCAAAGTGGACCGACCATTCCTTTTTATGATTTTTGAAGAAACTTTTAAAACATTACTGTTCATTGGCAGGTTAGTTGATCCAACAGAAATGTAAATAAAGAAAGCACTTTGCTTACTGGGCTGTGTAAGAGGCTTTATTTACATTTGTCATGGTCTAACCCCAGCTGACAACTATGTATCATGCAGCAGCTTGCTCACTCCCCTTCGTCCCCCTAGTGTGATGAGGTGGAGAACTGGAAAACTGTAAAATCCATGGATTGAGATAAGAATAGTTTAATACTTGTAATAAAATTTAATAAGTGTAATGAAAAGGGAGGTAACAAGAAGAGAGCAAGAGGAATAAAACCCAAGAAAAGGAAGTGATGCACAATACAACTGCTCACGGCCTGCTGAGCAATGTTCAGCCTGACACGAGCGGCCTCTTCTGGCCTCCCCTGGTGGCCATATATACAGGGCATGACATGCCTGTACGGAATATCCCATTGGCTGCTTCAGGTTAAGCGTCCTGTCTCTGCTCTCTCCCGGCTTCTCATGCCCCTCCTCACTAGCAAACCATGAGAGACTGAAAAGTCATTGACCAAGGTAAGTGCTGCTTAGCAGAAGCTATACATCAGTGTGTTATCAGCATTATTCTCAGACTAAATCCAAAACACTGCACTGGGCCAAGTTACTAGGAAGAAAATTAACTGCATCCCAGCTGAAACCAAGACACTGTTTTATTAATTTAAATTAGAGTAAAAAGACAGTGAAATATGAAAATATAAAAACCTATTTCGTTCTTCCAGCTAGCAATAGGTCATCCTGTTTATATTAATGCCCAAGTAACAAGCTAAATTCACTAAGGCCCAAAGTGAAAAAATCTGTCTTGTAAAATGTACCCTGCAGATAAAAAACTCCCAAGAAATTAAAAATAAATAGAAAAAAAAAAAAAGGCAAACACAAAACTGAACTTTGGAAATATTCAGGAAGCTCATTCCTGAACACTGCAGGCTTGATATTCCTCAATATTATCTTCTGTTTAAATGAGACTTAAGAACCCACTGACCTCAGTGTTAGTTGAATTTTGCCACTTATAAAGAAGCAGGATCAAGCCCTAAAAGAGAATTCACCACCTCTGCCTAGAAGTTTTATTATTGCAGAAATTACACTCAATCTATCATGAAGTCTGCAGTGGCTTGGAGTGTGACCTCTTTCAAAGTGTTTATTCAGAGTATCATTTTCTCCAGGTACGTGGTGTGTCTGCTTTTAAAATATTCTATTAAAGACAAAATAATTCTGAAAAATAACTCAGATATTCTGAACATGTAAAATCTGAATATGGACTGCTTTATAATACCAAGAGAGGCCTCTCCTAAAATCAGAATTTCTGCGTGCATTATCATCTAGAGGTCAGGGTGAACTACATAACAGGACTCTATGTCTGAATTAAAACAGACTTTGGCAGGAAAAAACACACTTCCATAAAAGTGGAATAAATCTGTTCACAGAGTTGATCCTAAAATCCAAAAGGAGCAGCAAAAATGTTTCAGAAAAATATTTCTATGATCAAGATACAATTCACTCTATTCAAGCAGCGCAGTGATTCCAACCAAACAGCAAGATATTTAACATTTAGTACATTTTTAATAGCAGCAGTCCTATGTATTAAGCATGGAACAATGTGAAAAGCTGCTTCCAGCTATATCTAACTAAAAGACCTAAACGTTACTCTACTTGCTCATACAGCCTTCACAAATAGCTGCCCAAAAGGGGGCAGAACAGTTTTCAAGATCATTTGACACAGAAACTTCAAAGGTGTTTATCAGTAAACACACACAGACAGATGCATCTGCAAGAGAAGATGTAGAAGATATATTACAGGGTAAAGCTGATAAATACCTCTAAAAATCATGTCAGTTACCACTAGAGGTCTACCCACAGCAACTGAGACACTGGTGTAAGCCACTCGCAAAAGTATTTAGCAGACAGATACTGGTATCTGACTAAAATACAAAGGTGCATCTAACCTAACTCCACATTGCAGTACGAATGTACCAGGAAAGAAAAAGAATCACTCATTTCTGTTTCTGAATGAGTAATTGGAGAAATGCTGCTCTATATAAGAGCCACCTGGTTAGCACTGCACAGTTGACTTACAGCTGTTAGTCTGAGTTGCAGGTAAAAAACAATGCTGCAAAAGGGTCAGATGTATTGGTGCTGTCCAACAGAAGTAACCCAGAAGTAAGCAGCCCCAAAAAAGATTGCTGGGATGGAGGTCTGTAGTGTGACAGACTTATGAAGGTATACAGAAGATGTCAGGAGCATTGTACAAGGAAGATGTGCAGACCAAAAAATTTCTAAATAAAGCAATTAAAGCTTACATAGCAGGAATTTAACACACAGTAGGGTTATTGAGTGGAGCATGTGTTATCAGCATTAAATTAATTAATCAGTTAGAAGTGACAGACATATGACAGCCAATAAGAAACAAAAGACAGACTGTATTAGAACTCATCACATGCTTATTAAGGGAAGAAATAGATTGGATTCAAGTTTCTGAACTTACTTGCTGTTCTGCATTGCTCTATTAAAGGCACTGGAGGGTTAAACACAGTTTTGAGTCCTGTTCTGCAGATAGCCACTTCTGATCTGAGTTTGGTCTCTGGCAGAAGTCAGACTGAACAGATTGAGCAGTCTCCTGCTGCCCATGGGTGAGCAGCTGTAGCTGGGATGTTAGTTGTCCCTGGGGAACTGCGAGTAACTGTTTTTATTAATGAGACAAATGCAGAACCTAGGAGGAGCCAGTATAGGTCATCTGTGCATCTGAACCAATACTGAATGTTAAACACCATAATACTTGAACAAGCCTTTAAAGAAACCTGTGATTTACAAGATCCTATGCCAGGCAACAGACCAAACAGAAAACCTGAGTGTTTTCACAGAATCCAAACAATGTCTGTGACTAAACAGAGAATACTCTCTATAACCAACTGCTATCTAAGAAGCTTAAGAATTCAGACAGCAAAACACTGCTAAATCCAAAGACACATTTCGTACTTCACACAAGACCGCATACATCCAGTGTTGTTATTATTTTAAATAAATACCTTCTACGGTGAATGATTTTATTTATTTTAATTATAAAAGATGCCCTGAGAGTGCTTTTTTTTTTTCAAGAACATGCATGTACATCATTGTCCTACATTTTATTTTGAGTAAATCATCATTCATATTTTTACATTATAAAAAGTAATCACACACGCATATGCGTTCACAGATCAGATCACCTTTATCATACACCAATAAATTTTAAAAACCACGTATTTCTGATATCAATATGTTTATGCTTCTTCCATTCTGAAATAGAGAAGCTGACAATAGCTTCATAAGCTTTCTCTTTAGTATTGGCATAAGTAGAACTCTTTAAAACAGAATTGCATGTTTTCCCACAGGCAAATTTTGATAGAAACATTAGCATTAATACAAACAAATGCAGATGACATCACTGAAGTATGATATCTTGCAATAGCAGCTGATTAAAAACTAGCTCCAGCATTATAAATTATTCAAGTGAAAATACAATCTGAAATACTAAAAAGTAAAACAGGTATTTATACAACAAAACTTATGAAATAAAAGGTTTTTTATATCATCTGAAGACATCTGCTTTTAGATTGCTTTGAAACACACAGTATTTTTATGAACTTTACTTAGTACTTGTAAAAACATTACCTCCAAATTCACAGCACAATGCTACTAAAGTTTATGATACAGACTGATCAACTGTTCTGGACTTTGGTCTTAAATTAAGTTTGAATATTCCTTAAAATGTGGGATTACTTTTGCATATTCATTACATTTCCTTCTATTCCTTGCATAAAACAAGGGTGCTAAGAATTGCTGAAATTGTAAATTAGCCAATTAAGTAATGAACATGTGTATTCTAAATCCAAGAATTTGAACTACAAAGGCATAATTGAAGAAAACAAAATCCTCTCTTTAGCTGCAGCAGATTAAGAGTACATAACTGAAGTTATATTTCATAACATTTCACTACAACATTAGCATTCTGCAACTGTTACACTATTTATTGGAACCTATTTTACATCTTGGGATTTTATTTAAAAGACTGTAAGTTTGAACATTGCAGGATGCATTTTATTCATTCCAGGCATTAGAGAGTCCTTCTGCTGCTCCCACCTTATCGCACCAGAATGCTGCTTCTACCACTTTCTGGTTCCCTTTTTTTCCATCAGAAGATCTTAAGAGTTTGATTTTCTGGATTTTCTTCATACAAAAGAAGAAACACACATAACATGTTTTTGCTATGTTTTTAAATAACATAAACTGCTATTGTGTGTAACATTTTAACACAACTCTTAGCTGCTGTACTTTAAAAATTACTAGCTGCTCTAATGTACCCACTGAAGAAGCCAAATGGACACATTCTGAGGGCCTTCTTCACAAGAAGGGGGTATTTTTCTCCATTAAGCTTTGTACAGAAGGTTGTGTAGAGGTCACTCTAAGTGAGATGTTAAGGTAGTCCAAGAAGTCTACTGGCTGCTACAAATAATGCCAGAAGTCTCCATCTTAACCCATAATAGTCTGGGGAAAGTGGAGATGGGCAAGAGAGAGAATACGATTTATTCCTAGGTATTCTGCTGACCATGTTAATTGGGCAATTTCTGATTTTTCATAGACTTAATTTTTAATCTTTAAATATACTGTTCTCAACTTCAGAATTGTAGCTGTGTCAATTATCAACCCATTTTTATTGGTCAGAAATATGTCAAAGACTGTATCTTAACATTTAGAACACTATAGTAATATTAATTTGCATTGATATTTTACAGTACCACTTACAAACAACACAATATATTGTTCTGTTTCACATTTTTTAAATTGCTGATGAAACCCATCATGATAATGTATCAGTGTCAGAGTACCTACTAGCTTCATCTTAGAAATGGGACCCAAACCACATGCCAGACCCACTGGACCTCAGAAATCTTAGCATCTTGAATAGCAGGATGAAAACGTGATTAGAAGTTTTAAGTAGCCAACTCAAAAGTGCAGTAGATCAGTGGCAGAACTACTTTATCTTGTGCTCAACTTCCTAAGCAATCATATGACTGAATGAAAGACAATACTTTGAAATATTATGCATATAATGCTTACTAAATGGTCACACACCAATGTGGATGTCTTAAAGGTCAGTTGAGGACATCTTAGGAAATACTGATATAGAATCATAGAATCATAGAATAGTTAGGTTTGGAAAGGGCCTTAAGATCATCTAGTTCCAACCCCCCTGCCACGGGCAGGAACATCTCACACAAAACTGTGCCACCCAAGGCTTTGTCCAACCTGGCCTTGAACACCGCCAGGGATGGAGCATTCACAACCTCCCTGGGTAACCCATTCCAGTGCTTCACCACCCTAACAGTAAATATCAATTCATTATTACAAAATTGATTTCTATGCAACAATAAATCTACTCCCACTTTTTAGAGGATGGAAAACCTGTACCCCTCTTTCTTCATTGAAACTGACTTTTTTATTAATATGTGTATATTGAGTACCAGGGCTGATTTTCTGAACAGAAGAAAAATAAGAGGTAGAGCTAAACATGTCTGTGGTCAACAAGGTAATGTGGATAAATGAACTGAACACCAACTATTCCTGTATCTGTACCTCTTAATATCTCCTTATAGAGCTGCTCCATTATCTGGTGAAAGTACTGTTAAGTATTGGTCTAGATTACAAAACAGAAATTGAATCGACAGTGCAGCAGACAGTATGCCAACTTGAGAGATGCATTTTCCCATAAGAATATATAACATTAAAACTCTTTTTCAGTACTAAATATAGGTCATCCTAAGCCTGCTCTTCTTTCTCTAAAAACACTATACAGTTTAGGGACTTTCTGAACTAGGGAGAGCATCCAGTTCATGGCGTTTGGTCAGATACTTACTTTCAAATAGTCTGCTGTTAAGGTATTCACCAATGTACCTCAATGGTACACTGAGACTCAAAGCCAAGACTCTTACATTCCACTTTCCTGCCTGAAGACAAAGGTACAAACTGCTCTGTGTGAGTCTTTTTCTGTCCCTTTGTACTCAAGCAAAAGATATCAGTTTTATTTTAAGTGATAGATAGAAAAGCCTTTGCTTTGTGAGTATTAATCCATTTATTTTCCCCAAAATTTTGTGAGACAGATGAGTAATTGGAATTTCTGCAAAAATTTGTAGCATTAGAACTAATTTTCTGGTTTTAAATAGAAGGAACAGACGTATACAGTGATTAGAGTGAAAGCACATGGGGTTTTGACCACACAATTTTTGAAAATATTGAACACTCTATGTCATTTTATGTACTCAAGGTACACGTCCCGCTTACTTTATAGATAGCTGAAAACATCCGCATGACTACTGATCTAATGTTGAGTTTGAAATTGTGTGCTTTGAAATTAGTGACCACCTAATGATCGCCTATAAAAAGTCTGAAGTACTGTGGGTTAATACTTAGGAGAAAGCATTAGACTCTGGACAAGGCAGGGGTAGAGCACAATTTGAATTGGTACTTTAAAGTACTTGTGCTGTGAAACCACTGACTCAACAGAAACAGTCCACCTTCATTCACCACTTATCTTCCAACCTTTTCTACAAAGAAAATCCAGTTTTAAAAACAATAGGTCACTATGCAAGCTTGATTTCATTCCAGAACAAATTTACCTTGTACAGTGAAGGTGGTAAAATTCCAGCAGAAAAATACTATGTAATCACACAGCAAAAGACTGTGTATCATAATATAATGTACACAAGTAGTTGAACGCAAGCTGTTTAGAGAACAACTTCACATATTTGTTAAAATTTTGAGTGTTTTATTTTGCAATTTGGGAATTTTATTAACTTCGATATGTGAGTAAAGGTGGTGACAGGGGGAGTGTTTTGGCTTGTTTTTTACAGGAACATGAAAACCCCAGAAAGGATCACTAAAAGATATCACTTTCACTATTGTTTTCTCTTTATACCTAGAAAACCAGTGTAAGGTGTTTTCTCTTTCCTGTCTGGTGTAGACTCCATCAACACATCTATCTCAGCTCCATTATCTTTGAGGCAAGTTACAACCTCACATCCTGGCCTCTTCTTTTATCCTTGGTCTTTTATACCTGTACAGACTTCCAAGGCCCCGGCTTGTATTTCTCCATGTTTTTTCAGCTCCCAGTTCTAGTTCCTATTACATTTAAGTCTACTTTCCCAACCTCCATTTCTTGAAATAGCTGGCTCCTTTCCATTCTCCATTCTGACTTGGCTAAGAAATCAAATCTCCAATAGCAAAGAAAAATCTCAGTTTGAGCACCCAAAATTACAGCCAGTCCAATGACACTAATTTAGAACTACAAGTAATAGTGTGAAAGGAATATGAAGGGAAGTAGCTGCTAGAGTCTACAGATATTTGACAAAGTATGTACATATCACAGCAAATTTCTAGGACTTACAGTTTTATCACAGGAGCAAAAAAAATCATCTTTGATTTCATTCTTGCAAAATGTTGAACAGTTTAGGGTGAAGTTTAAAGAAAACCAGCCTAAGGGAGATGCCTAGCATTGAAATTTTTTCATCTAAATGATTAAGGTAAGGCAAAGGCAGCAGCCTTAATGACAAGTAGCAGTACCAGTTCAACATAACTCTCAAACACAAAAATACAGAAGTACATAAAAAGGAAAAAGAAAAATGAAATCATCTAATAATGCATATTTTCTATTTCTCCAACTATAGGCAGCTAAATCACTGTGACTGTAGTTACTATACATCAAATGCAACAACCTTCACTTTGTCACATTCCACCCTCCCCATAATGCTCCAGCTGAATGCAAACGTGCAGAGGAAACAATGCAAAAGACTAACTGAAAGGGAATGCAATCTTAAAAACTCTCGTAATTGCACACATCCCATTTTTACCATGTTTATTTAGTATTTCAAAATCTGGGTGAAGATGTATCATAAATACAGGCTTAATCTCACATGGGTCTCTTCAGTTCCCTTTGAAAAATGTTACCCATAAGCTTGATTTAACCTCTTGTCAACCACTTACAGGTTCACCTTTCGGGTCTGAATCTCCTTATTTCCACTGCTCTTCTGGTCAGCTGAGTTATATAAATTGCAAGAAGAACTGGAAGGGAAGGCAGTATTCCCACTGTTACCACCAGAATGAGTCCGGAATGAATCATCTGAAATAAAGAGTTGCAGTTCAGAAAAGAATTTTGTCTGAAAAATGTACACAGAGAGTAAACAGAATGAGCTGGTTTTCCTGTGGCAATTGTAGCATATTTCCTATGGCACTAATCCAAAAGTTTAACTTTCTGTAACAGAATGGTTTCAACTTAGCATTTCTTCTTCTTTTGTGGAAAAAATGATAAATAAAAATAACTAGAAGACACATTTTGAAAGACAGGATTAATACATTTCATGTATGAAAACAAGGGTATTTAATTGGCCAGTCTTAAGGTACTTAAAATGTATCTATTTAATCCAAGCTAATCATCTATTAGTACTGAATGCAAAAAAGACAGGTTCCTCCAGAAAGCCACTAATCTCATTCCAGTCTTTAATGATCCATACTTTTCAACAGCAAATGCAGAGAGGGGCACTTCCAGACAACAGTTTCCCTCTCCTAATTCAAGAGAAGGTATACATAATAACCCTTTCCTCATGTAAAATGGGTGGAGGCAAATTGCAAGACCAACCTTTTTATGACATCCAAAATATCAAGAGATGTCAAGTACATTTTACTTTTACTACATTTAGATATAACTTTAAACCTACATGTAACAAATACCAAACAAAACAAAAACCAACCAAACAAAAAAAAACACAAACCCAAACAAACAAAAAGCAAAACAAAAAATGCAACAAAAAAAAAGAGAAGTAGACTAACTAGACTAGCATTTAAGTGGCCAAACATATCGGATATGTATTATTCTATGTTCTTTAGCAGAATGGTATCTTACAGTATGCCTGGTAAATAGGGTATATGTGGAGCCCACATATTCAGCACCCCCCCAAAAAAATCATATAAAATGTAATGGAATAACCTACTTACCAGTAAAGGATAACATACAATTCTTTCCCATTCCGGATACTGAACACGTATATCCTGTAGCAGAGCTTATACTTAAAAAAAAACAAACAAACAAACAAACAAACAAAAAGCCCCACAAATAAATTAAAACCAAACTGTTTATTTCAGAAACATGTTTCTCCCAATTGAATGACCCTGCTCTTTATATAAAATTGGAGGTTATTTATGAGTTTATATAAAAAAATTAAATGAGAAAGTTATGCTGAAATTTCTTTAGACTTTGCAGTTCATATTGAAACTTGTTTTAATATTTGATAAAAGGTGACATATTAACTTAAAAGGAATACATGAGTAGGACTCAGCATGCCTTAAAGTGATATATCTTCCTTCAGTTCAAAACTGCATGCCTTAATCAATTAAACAAGCTGAAAAGTAAGGTCACAATTCAGCAAGCACATCACTACTTTTATAGAGCCTTATGCATATAATTTCATAACATTTGCCTATGAGGTAAGGAATGAAGATAATAAAGATACTTAGGACACTTGTCTAAGGTGTTGTATTTTGGATGTAGTGCTTGAGTACTGAAAGACTGGCTTCGAACCAACTTGGATTTTTTGTCTTCTTTGCCTAAAATTGTAAGTAGGAAATTTTTTTTAACATATATATAATTGCATTTCCCCAGTAATTAAAATAACTTTTAATATAATTTTCTGTCAACTTTTGCTAGCTGAAGGAACTGATTTAAATACTTCAATAACAATAAATAAACTTTATGTCACTTATTTATATAGTAAAGATTAAACTAAAACTAAAAAACATAGAAAACATTCAGTTCTAGGAGTGGAATCACTTCCTATGCATAGAAGGTTAAACTAGCCCACAAATCCCAACAGCAGCTTTGCTGGGTTTTAACCTGCTGATGTGACACCAAAACATTCTGGAAGATTTTTAAAGAGTTCTTACCTGCTGATGCAGCAGAAGAGCTTCCAGGAACAGAGAGCGTGATCCTTTTTGCCAACACTGATGAAGTTTTACTGTCTCTGCCTAAAAAAAATCCAAGTATAAATACTCCTTTCTTAAAGGTTAACTTTAAAAAGAGAAAGATGTTGTAATGTATTACAGGCGTGGGGTAAAGAGCAATAATATCAAATCCAGTGCTACTAATATTTCAGAAATACCACAGACAAGTACGTACACTACATGCTAAAATTAAAAATACCAGAGAACTAAAACTGTCATGTGTTTTATTAATAAAGCCAAAAGTCTTCCCTCTAATAAAATGAGGCCAGTATTTATAAATATATTTAGAAATATATAGAAAAAAAGGTTTATTGCCACTTTTTAAAACTCTGTTTACTGTATAAATTTTTTTTTCTCTGCTCCTTTCTCCTACTTTTGCAGAAGAGCAATACATGCACAAACAAAATGTACACAAATAAACTTACGTTTCTTTTCAGATATTTTGTTATTAATATTTGTAGATCTTCCTTCATTTTGCTGCTTCTCTTTTTCTAATTGTTCCTAAAAAATGGATAATTTTCTTAGTTATTCCTCAGAAAAAAATAAATTGTGTTTCCAACTGGGAATTGCTTCCAAATCACCAAAATAACAATTTCTTCTCTCTCCAACTTTTAGTACAGCCCCTAGTGAATATTTTGATAACCAATCAAGTAGAACAAAATTAAATCAGGGTACATAATCTATATAAATGTCACATTAAAAAATGTTGATTGTAATTATGAAGGAACCTCAGAGCTGAGGTTTTGCATTTGATAAGCCTTTATGAAAACAAAACCAAGTATTACAATTGTTCAAGTATAGGGAATTCCGTTGCCCTTCTGTAATATTAGCTAGCCTTAGAACCTTTTGAGAGTACATTCATAGACAGAATGTAGTGTTAACACAGCTACATAAATAACTTCAAAAGCCAATACTTGCTTCTGGATTGCTGCTGAACAGACACCACTCCACCTTCAAAATGCTATTTAATGTTAGCTTATTTTCTGTACTATGTTAATAATAAAAAGTTCCAAGTGAACCATAATTGTTCTACTCTATTTTTATTTTATTTTTTTTCATTTCATTCTAATTACTAACAAAGTTAAAAAAAAGAAAAAAAAAACATTCAGGTCAAGGTTGCTGTAATATAGTTTCTATTAAGTCACTTACTAAAATTAAGGAAACATATTAACATATTCAGTATTAAAATCTGCAGCACTCAGATACATAAGTAGGTTCACCCCTTCCTCATCTGTTTGCAGCATAGAATAGTCAGGGCTGGAAAGGACCTTAAGATCATCTAGTTCCAACCTCCATGCCATGGGCAGGGATGCCTCGCACTGGACCATGTCCCCCAGGACTTGGTCCAACCTGGCCTTGAGCACTGCCAGGGTGTCACAATTTACTGTATACATCTCCAGTTCCTCAAAAACATGCCTCTCACAGACAGTGCTTAATGAGACCTTTGTGATACAGAAGGTATGCCCATTTCAGGGGTATATATATCTATCATAAAAATACAGGTGCTCTTCTAAAGTCTAGCTGCAGAAATAGGGTAAAAATTGCCATTACACAATACAAGGTAACAAAGAGCATACCAGGAGCTATTTTACCATAGACCCGGACTGCTTTAACTATAAAAACATTTATTTTAACTACCTAAAAACTGCTAAAGCTAAGTTCAAGTCTTTGAATATGTATGCAGGTCTTGATAACAAAGCTTGAACCTTCGCTACGCAAGAGAAGACATGCAGCACCTACTGACATCAGCGGGCCAGAAATACAGGCTCTGTAGAATCCCAAATTGGAAAAAAAGTGGGTTTTGGACAGTCTTGAACCTGTTCTGGTTTACTACAGAGCAGCTTCATTTTCTCAAATCAGAGAAACCATGATAATGAAATTTAGCCTCTTCTAAATCCTATCAGCTTCTTAGCTTCTCTCACCTTTGGGTGGAGAGGAGCTAGCGGAAGAGAGGACTGCAGTAATCTCATCTAGGGTTTGTGAAAATGTAGTAGGCTAAGTGGCGAAGCGTCTGCTGCAGCTCTCACTTACAGACATGACTGAAGATAGTTTTTATGAGCAGGAAAACTGTTCTGCAGACTTCTCTTCCAAATCCTAAGTAAGTAACTTGAAGCACCTTTTGCTCTATACAACCTGCACTAAATCTCCCTTCTGAGAGGCAGCACATATCAGTGGCCTTTTTTCTGATTAACAAGAAAGCCTGCAACACACAGAGCCTTCTTTGGCTTCCTTGGCACAAATGTTAGGGCATTCATTGCTTTGCCTATGGAAGCTGTCTGTCAGTTCTGAGATGTTTCATCATTCGATTTATTATGTTAGACACACCTGAAAAATCGCTAAGCTCCCGCAAAAAGATTTCATAAAGTGTGCTGAAGGGCTTGGATTTTAGAACTATCAAGGCATCACAGACGAATATTTTTCAAGAAATTAGTTTGTTTTCTAACTGATACAGTAAAGTTTAGGTAATACAGAAAAGGAAGTCATATGTCATACGTCTTAACCCTATTGTAAATTGTAAAATGAAACTATACACAGATTATGAACCTACAAGGTGTCTTGATAATGTGCACTTCCTCTACCTTAAAATTATTGCCTCATTAATATTTAGCTACAAACTAATAAAAAAAGGACCGATTATACTCATAAGATATACCATTTCCAAAAGGAGATATTCTTGTCTCTCTTTTTCTTGATCCAATAAATCATTTTCGTAAAATCTTTTCAGAAACTTCAAAATAAAATCAATAAAAATAAAAAGTCACTTTATGAAAATGGGAATTAAAAGTATTTTGTAAGTATTAAAGTTACTGAGTACTTACAGCATCTACAGAGATCTCCATTCTGTCCAATTCTAACACCGTCTATAAAGAAAATCAAAACACTATTGTTACTCAGCAGCATTCCATACTTTCAACTAAGAAACTGTCCAGCTAGGAAGCTCAGAATAGTCATATTCAAAATTAAGTATGCCTTTTCTTCATTTGAAGCCTATTGCATTTTTTGATACACATACAGTTAAAAATTGTCAGAGAGTATTCTCAGAGCCATGCTGAGACTCACAGGCTAATAACTGACAGACTATCTATTTAGAATTCAAACTACACTCAAGGAAAGCACAGAAGCATGAATGGCTGGAGCATGGAACTAGGAACCAAGACTACAAAAGCAACTCAGGAATTTGTGGATAAGCCAGGATGCTTCACACCCAGTTTCTCCTGCAGACTGGCCCTATAAAGAAGCCACCTACTTTAGCTACTTCGTATCATGGCTTACTTGAAACTAAGCATGGTCATCCCTAAAAGATGTACTTTTTCATGAATATTCACTGTACAAAGACATTTGTAACATTTCAAAATCATGCATCTGTATATTGCAAATATGTATCTCTAGATACCTCTACCTCAAAAACTTGATCATTTTCACTAAAGTCGATATTTAAACCTATCTTTAGTCATCTGTTATTTTTCACAAACGGCCATTGAGCTGAAGTCCTGAATCCCAGTCACTATAAAATAACCGCAATGTTAGTAACCAAGGAAACACCTGCTCTCAAATTTGACAGAATGCACTGCACTACACCTTCTCTTAATTGTCCAAAATTATATGATAGACAATGAATTCTTTAGTCTCCTGTTCTCACATTAAGAGAATCAACAGAAAGAATAAGGTTGATCATCTTTTAACGATAACCCCAAAGCAAAATGCTGCTGGAAAAGAAAAATGCTTACTCTTTTTACAATAGTCAGGACATCTTTGTCTTTCTCTTGACACAAAAGTTTCCTTATACATAACTCTAACTGCTGAAGTAAATGTTTATCAGTGGGTATCCTCAGAGTAGATTTAACTTTTGGCAACAAATAGCATAACTTCATTCTAAAAAAAGAAACAAGACAGTATATATTTGTCTTTTCATGCAATGTTTAATAATCATCATTAATTTTTGTATTGCATGCTAGCATGACATACAATAATGTCAGTAGGTTTGATTTTCAGATCATATAAATGTTGTTTATGTATTGTTTCCAGACATACTGTAACATTTTCAAAAACTCCACAGGTCAGGAAAAGAGTCCTATATCTGAAAGTCAATAAATATTTCTCTGGTTTTGTTTTGGGTTTTTTTTTTAAATGGTTATCATTTTTGTTTTGACTGAGTGTTTGGTTGGGTTTTTTTTGTTGTCGTTTCAGGTTTGAGTGTTTAGGGGTTTGGGTTTTGTTCATTTGGTTGGTTCATTCTGCTAGAATGATAAGCAGACCTCTAGGTTTTCAAAATTATCTACACATCTATTTATCTGTATCAGGTACCTAAATACACTGGAAATCTGGTTCATCAGTATAAAGCAGCCAAATTCTCACCAAAACTCATGTAACTGCACTTCCATACAACTGCAAGGATGAAGGAAACTTTGTGATTGATAACATTTGAAAAGATTTTCTTATACAAATTCATCTTTCTGTTTTCACACATTCAAAACATTTTATTCTTCACAACTTCCATTACAGAATTACACCACTCTGTGAAAAGCTAGAATATCTCTCTATGCTCATTTTAAAATCACGACCTAACAACTATGTCTGACTTCTAAACTTCTGTCCACTATAGATGGTGCATCCTTTCTGTAAAAAGTGTTAGGGAACAATCCAGGAAAGAATTATGACAAAATTAATTTTAATGTCAGTTAAGGATTTACAAGTTATTTCAAGTTCCCATTAAATTTTAATATTGTATCAATAGCGTTTTTAATAAAAACATTTGTTGAAAGCAAAAAAAAATTAAAATACATAACAAATTCCCTTACATTTTTCTATTTTTTAACTTACTTCAACAATGAAGTAGAAAACTTTAAAATAAGGTAAAACCGATGCTAACTTGTTAAGCTCAGATTACTTTAAAGAATTGCTTGTGTGTTTTACTTTGCATATAAAGAGATTGAAATGGATGGAAATTAATGGAGACTGTGAAGTTACATTTCTCTCTATACCCATGAAACAGCAAATTACTTTCTTCTCACCTACAGTTGGCTCCTCTGCCTCACTGTTCCTTTCAGTCCCAAAACCTGACATTTTTGGTGAGTTCCCCCCAACACTCAGATTGACCTACTTATGTGGTTTCCAACATCATTCCCACAGTGCCCTACACCTTTAATACTGGTTACCTTAAAGGCTCTGTACATTTTCACTCAAGTCCCATTATTTAAGCAAGACATGAAACCAGTAGCAATATTTCTAAATATAGCATTTAAGGTTTTTATTTCCTGTTCACTGCTGCATACTCTTTGTACAGTACCTCACATTTGCCACTGGATCATGTGTAAGTTCAAGAACAGGTAGAAAGAAGTATTTACAGAAGAATGATTTTGAAAACAGTTCCATAATGAATTCACATGTATCTAAAAACCGAAGTCTGTTCCAATAACTTTTTCCTTGGCCCAGTTCTGAAAAATAATAATGCACAGATATTATCTATTAAGTTTTCAATGTCAGAGAGATAACTTTTCAAAGGTTAACCTAACATTTCAAAGATGATAATCACACTCATCACAAGACACACCTTCCCAGCCTATCTCAATTCTTTATTTCAGTGAAAAACCACCCTTCTGAATTCAATGACCACACCTGTCAGTGAGCATTGTTTTTCAGAAATACAGTCAGTCTCTTTAACCATTTGAAAACGGAGAAATAGTAATTGAACTAGCTACCGTGTTGAGCAAAGCCCTGTATGCCATCCAAACTATGTCATTGGTGTATGAAAATTACTGTGTAAACTTTAAGGATTGCTAATGAGAACGATTCAAAAATTCTAACCTAGCTTTAAAACACATAGCATAGACCAGAAGGTCACCTTAGGTGACTAATCCATTCATAAATTAATCTCTGAGAAGATTTATTCAGCACTTCTTATGATGAAGCCTCTAGAGAATTTTATTTCTGTAGAGGAACTCTGTTTTGTATATTGCAGCACTTTCAGCTGAGCCATTTTGGATTCAAGAAGCAGGGCTGGAGGGGGCTTGGCATATTATCAGTTTCCCACATTGCCACTTTCCCAATTTATTTGCACAAGTTTCAGATATTCCTTGCATATGCACTATGTTTTGCCTGGTGGTAATATGAGCAACTGAATGCCTTTTAAGTGTAATCCCTCCAATGAAGGCAGAAAGTTACACTGAATGAATACAGCTATATATAGAAATAGATCTTTAGTCAAGACTAACGGGCATCTCTACGTAATCATGGAAAAATTATCTTACGTTCAATCAGTTTCTGGATAACCTCATGCCTCTGTTCTTGTTTGGGATTATAACGCAAATAAACGCAGAGAGTTCGAGCAGCTGCTTTTTGGACTGGTAGGACATTCTTGAGAGAAATAAAGGGAACACAATCAAACATACCTGAAGAAATATGACTAAAAATGTATAAAAAATCTAGAAGTAGAAAAAAAATAGCTAAAATAGCACCCAACTTTATAAATTTTGAAATAATTGCCATAATGCCATGGGTAATTGGGAAGTTTGGCCAATCAATATCACTTCTGCCTAACGTGTTTATTAAGTTATTTCTTAAAAGCCTTGAAGTATTTCATGTCTGGGAGGTGGCTTCTATATTAAAGGTGTTAGAAAATAAAGTATCTCTTACAACAAACATTCATTATCAGAATAAAGTGTTCTTTCATAAAGAATGAAACACAATGTGATATAATGCATGGAATCAGGAAAACGAAGGCATGTCTCAGGGGAAAAGGTTTTAATTTACCTAGAAACAAATTGATAATGAGCACAAGGAAATAAAAGAACTTTTGGGTGGGAGGAAAAATATGACAACCTGTCAATCCAAATTTTGCTCCTCAAACTGGGGGGAAGTTCTCAGAGCAATTTCTCAGTCATATTAAAAAAAACACAGCCTGATATACCATATGCAATGAGAAGTAGTACTTTAAGACAATTAAAAAGTACTACACATAGCAAATATATGGTGGTCATTGTTCTAAATAGCATAAAGAAACAAAAAAAAACATGAAAGAGACAGGTGGGCTTACATTTGTCAAAATGATTGTCAACATTCTGTGAAGAAAGCGGTAATAAATCTGATCACTTGATATGATATGAGGGAGACATGCATATTTTTGCAGTAACTTCTCATGAGTTCTCCATTTTAAAGAAGTTGCTGCTCTTTGTTCTGCTGTTGTTAATGCCGTAATCAAGTCAGGAATCGACAATAACTAGAAATAAAAATATAAACATTAAAATAATTTTACATGTTCTAGCTTTATGTCATGTTACCATGCTTAAAAAGCACATCACAACAATGCAGCAAGGGAAGAGATTTTTAAGGGGTCAGTTAATTCCTCTCCTCAGACAGGATCAACTACACTGTGACCACTTCCAGCAGATGTTAGCCTAACTTGGTTTTAAAATAATGTAATGGTTGGGTTTAAACAATCTTCCCTAAGCAGTAAATTCTATTTTACTACTCAAAAAGCTATTCCGATACCTAACTAAATAAACTTTCATTTCCAATCCCTTCTCCTGACAAAGAAAAACTGATCACTGTACCCTTTTAGAGATATGAAAGAGCATTATGACAACCTCTTCATTCTTCTCTTTTTCAAATCAAATAAATTCCATTTTCCTTCTAGCCTTTTGATTTTGCAGTCACTGTTCTCAGCTCCCTAATTGATTTTAGTAGGAATTAGACACCTTTTCTTAGTGGGAAGCAAAGACTTTGCAGTAGCCAAGCTAAAGTCTCTTTAGCACTAAGCAAAATGAAAGAGAGTGCCACATTCGACATTGCACTTGTTACATGCCATATAGATTTTCAGCAGTACATTATCTGAAAAGTTCACATTTTAAATTACACTCTCAACTTTTCTCCATACGAGAAAATAAATTTATTCATTTCTTATATTGTTGGAATATCTCAATTTCTCCATACACTTAAGAAGTATGCTCAAAACAGAATCTTGAAGCAAGAGATGATCTTTTATGTGCTATTTTACAGGTAAGGATTCAATGAATAAACCATCATCCAGAGCCACATAAAATCAAATTACTGTAGTTGGGAGCTGAATATAGATCACCTAAAACCTAATTCAGTGCCTTTCTTCAGCAAATAGGCTTTCTTCTAGCAGAAACTGTGTCTGAAAATGGCAAACATGGGCAGTTGCCACATAAAGAAAAAATAAATAAATTCCATGTTAGCTGTCATTCCTTTAGCATGAAGCCAACCTATGTTTTAATTTAATGATTGTATTTCAAAATTTTATTTATTTCAGGAAATCTGTGGCTAATTGGAAAAAGAACATGGATGAACATTATATTATGTCAAGTCTTTCACAATTCTTTTTTATTATTATCATTAAGTTTATAAAGTCAAAGGACAATCAAAAAAAAACACAGAGACTTTTATCTCGCCAAAGCAGAAACTAGTAACAAAGGCATATTCATACCATGTATGTCTGAAAAACTTTACTACTACCTTCATTTAGAAATCAAATTAAAAAAACATGAGAATACCCACCTTGTTCTCTGATCCACAGCTTTCTCCTCCATTAGTCATTAGTTCAAGGATTTCAGGGAGGTTACCTATCAGGGCATCTAGCACCTATTTAAAGAAAGGCTGCATAAATAAGTTCCGTAAATTAACTTGACTCAATTTTTATCTCTCACTAACAATATCCCTAGTGACATCTCTTATGGTACTGTTCTCTCATATCCATCGCAACAAAAAAGAACGAGATGCAACATATTTGCTTTGATGAGGACTGGGATTTAAAATTGATGTTTCAATGTAGTTATGTTTTAATGTAGTAATATAAGTACTATACATTATAAGTTTAAGAAAACAAACTGTAGTTTTGATTTATATGAATACCACAGTCAATGCTTTCTAAGATATTTTAAAATGAACATCATTCCTAAATAAAAGAGCCTTGACAAACACAAAGAAATGGGGTTTTTTACATTTGTCAACTGAATCTTAAAAGCAACTTTTTGTACTTTAAGAAAAACTGCAGTTGATAAATTAAAATAGAATGTATAGCCTATATGAATAAAGTAGCCAAACTTTCAAATGTTGTAATACTTACAAATAGACTAGAAAAGTACATAATTAAATATTTTTGGCACCAGTTCTGACTGAGGTGGTAAACAAGATAAGGCACCAAATACTTTTTATTACATGTATCAAAACAGGGAAATTTTTAGAATCACCAGCTGTTTCTGAGTCTCAACTTTCAGGTGTTCAACTTGAGAAATCTTTAAAGATGCATCAGAATTTCATAAACTACAAGTAGATTTTCTACGAATGCTTTGAATTCCCTTGAAAATGTCTAACAAAGGATAACAATAGAGAACCTGAAAGCAAAAGGAAATTATGACTTTGTCTCAATAAATATTTGTCTTTTTTCAAGTCCAAAAAGGTCTCACTCTATGTCAACTGTAATCCAGCTAAGTGACTCATGTTTTACACAGGTTGAAGCTGAGGGACACTAAACTATCTCACAAACACTCACAGAATCTGTAACAGACCTTGGACTGAAATTCTTTCTATAAATCCTGATCTTTGAACCACACACAACTTCTTAATCTCCCCTTCAACTGAAGAAATGAAAATAAACCAAAGCAAAAACCTTAAATACTATAAAGGATTATTTTAACACAGTATCAAAACCAAATATTTCCAGAAAATTTCTAAGTTAATAAATGATACGGCAATTAAAACAATTTAGAATTAATGTTTTTAAAAGCTAATAAATTCAGTGTGGGTTTACTAAATTTAAACACCTTCCTATTTTCCTCCTTTTTTATTCACAGAAGGCTGTCATCTTTATGAAGCATCTGTGAAACAGAAGTAAAAGCTGTTGATCCTTTCACACTGTTACTCTACTGTCTTATTGAAGTTATTAAACATCAAGATAATCTGCCTTAATGTAATAAGCAAAATAAAATTCTACTAAAAGTATATTACCTCCAGTGACTCATCCTGCAATAGTGTAACCAGTTCTTTATGTATTGTATACACACCAGAATTTAAAAGCTTAGCCACCTAAAAAATGACAGGAAAATAGCAAGGTGAAACATTCTCTAGTTTCATGCCACTACAACAATATGTGTTTACTTTATGGCAAGCATGAAGATGGGATGAAGAGCAATTGTTTAGTATCAGACTTCTAAAGTTGTGTGCTTTCCCATAGATCACATTAAAATATGCTAATATAAAGAATATGAGTCAAGAAACTGGCCTATTATCAAACCATCAAACATGCTTTCAAATTTAACACTTTCTCAGAGTTAGCAAAAAAATTTAAGACTGCAAGGCGAGGAAAAATTCATTCTGGAATATTCAAATGTTGTAGATCATGCTCCTTAGGAGAATTAACATTTCAGACTGTTATATAATTTACAAAAGATAAAACATAAAAATTGGTTTAGCCTGTGCTGGATTTTAAATTTCCCCAACCTTTCCATCTGAAGTTTTCAGTCTTCGTTTGTTGTTTTTTTTTTGACTCTGATTCATAAATCACATATGAAATTCTAAAAACCACCCCCAGTCCATCTCCAGACTGCTACAAGAGTTTTAACCCTTTTCACATGAGAAAGCCTTGAGGAATAAGATTATTGCCATACTTAATATTTTGATGACTATTTTAAATGATCTTCTTTATTTATATGAGCCAAGTGAAAATAAAAGCTTGCTCCTAATCAAGATGAAGCTTTAAGGAGATGTCCAAAGGGAGTTTATTTATATTTAAAAAAAAAAAAAAAAGTTCACCTAGCAGTGAATGCCATAAATTGATAAATTGCCCATTTTTTGGCTGTCATATGGTTGCCTAGTTATGGAGTTAAAATTAAATCAACAAGCACTAAATGCATGTTCAGACCAAGGTATAGTTTTACAGGCTTTTCAAAATGAGCTAAAATACTTCATATTCAGGCAGTACTTTAAAAGTATTATACATCTAACACAAAATATTATGCAGAACTAGATGCGAACTTTATAATTTCAACAATTACCTTGGATCATCATTCCCTAAGGCAAACCATCAATAGGTAGCAAGAACTGGAAATACATCCATCTTTCTTATAATGGTGGAAATAAAACCATTTAGGCCTCTACTACTGATTTAAATGCTTTCAGCAAGCTTCTTAACTTACCAATTTCTCCAGAAAGAAAATGGGATAAGAGGCTAGCTCGAAGACTGAAACACAAGGATTCTCAGTAAAACACTATGAAAACCTTGAAGATCATCCTACATAGGTTATTACAATCTGGAGAGAGTGTATTTTTTTTTTCTGGAATTCACCCCACATAGCTAATAATATCTACACAGTTGTACGTTTTTTAACTTTCATGAAAATACTACACTGGAACTTATGTAAATTGAATGGAGTAAAAAGAATACACATTCTTCTACATCTGCATAAATTTCCAAGTAGTTTCATATTAAATTGAGCATTTAACTTAGATTTGACCCATATATTCTCCACAGAATACCAGTATACACCAGCAAACTCTACCATTCTAAAGGAGGTTTTCAGGACCAAAAGTGGCAAGTGCCTGTCTAACAAACGTCTCACTATTTTCTAGTAGCACTGAAAAACTTCAAATAGTGTAATTGCTACAATTGCTTATGCTTGTAGTACTATACCACTCTAAGTTTCTTCCAGGTTTTACTCCTTAAAAGCTCATCTAACAGTAGGCTCCTGTAGCCAAATGTTACACAACTTAGACTAATCTGTGTATATGGGCTATACAGACAGGTTAGATGGGACTGAACAACTTTGACAAACTGAATCCTTTCAACAAGTTTTCTCAAGTCTTTTTATTTTGGTCAAACAGTCATAAATATAACCTTAAAGAAGAAAACAAAATAAAAACATGTAAGTACTAACAAAGAACCAATGTCGACTTACTTCATAGAAGCTTAAGGCCATAGTATATCTGACAGGAACTTCAGGGTCATGACAAAGACAGAAGAATATAGAATACAGTTCTAAATGGAAATTCTTTGGGTCCACAAAAACAATCATGGCCTGTGGAAGGATAAAGTCTTCTATTAACTGCATAATTAAAGGGCCACACTATCAGATCAAAACATTAAGCTACAATCAGAAAGACACTTAGGAGGTAACAGGTTGTGATTTTAAAGAGGAAGTATAGCATTTTTGATGGCTGTGTCAAAACACAGGCACCAGACAAACTCTGAAGTTGAGAACTAAACTGGATTTACATATCTTCCAGACATGCTTCAGGCTTTTTTTTTCTCAAGACATAGACTAAATCCACAAGATATAAAACTTTATTTCTATAAATATTGTTAACATTTCCATACACTAGTGGAAGGTGCAATTGGAGACTTCAAAAACAACAAATATTTTAGCAAGCAGCCAAGCAAGCACCTGAATTTCAACATAGTTTTTTGCGTACATACCTTTGTTTTGCTCAAATAAACTAACAGATGTCTACCTACATAAAAGATGCTTCTCTTTAAAAGGCAGAATAAAAATAACTGTCTATTGGCTTGTTACAAAAGTATTTTCTTTCACTATAAATACAGAATGTCAAAATACAAAGTAAATTTACAGAAACATGAGTGGTACTTTTAAAGACCTCACTTTAACTTGAAAAGTCTTTCTGCATTCAGGCAGGAACATGACTGAAATATTAATCTAACCATTCAGATTCAATCTTTAACTCCCTAGAATGCCATGACACACAGCAAATGTGAAAACCTAGCTATGACAGTTTGAAACTGGGGACTTCTGTTTCACAGACATTTTCTCAAACCGTTTGTGCTAAGTGTTTGGAGAAAATGTATAAGAAAGACTGAGACCAGTAACCTCTCAGAACAGCAACACCTGCTCAGTCAAAAACTTGTCAATAATTTTCTCAGGCTCCGTAAAAGGAATCTTTCCTGGACTCTTTCGGACAACCTCTACTTTGAGCCATTAACTTGAACTTTTCAGGAAAGATCTAGAGTCCAGCTAAAAATGTACATTTTGAAAATAACTTCTCTATCACTCATGCAGTCCCTATTCAGTAAACTATATGCACAACACAAATTATTTAACCTTAAATTAATGTCACTTACAGGAAAATTGTAAGCACAGTTCTTCCTGACCAAAATATACTTATTTTCTTGTTCCAGAGTTTGAACTTGTACTTGATTATCATTTTGTCCATTTTCTTGCTGTAAACCCAGTGTGGAAAGCTTCTTATAAAATTCAAAAAAACGTAAGTGTTGTTCAGGAGTAAAAATGCCTCAAATTAAAAAAAAAAAAAAAAAAAAAATCACTTTCCTCATTACAAATGTTATTAATAACATCCCAAACCAAATCTTATTCAAAAATCTATCAAATACATAAATTTTTATTCCTCTTCCCCTCACCTTAAGTCTACCAGAGTATCACCACTACACATTATACAGAAAAAGTGATTACAGAAAACAGACAGCTAACTATAACAGTGAATCTTAATTTCTGTTTACGTAATTCTGCAATACTCAGGACTTTATGGAACTCAGTCACATGAACAATGCATGCCTGCAGAAAGTTGAAAATTTAGGCCATTTTGCTACAGATAATAGAGGTATAGAAGTAGAAAGCTCCAAACAAACTGGAATACAAATAGAAAAATTACTTCAAAAGTTACAGTTAATTTTATTAGTACATTACTTATTAGAGAACAATCAAGGAAAGGCTCAGTACAATTAACTGTGATAAAGACTGAGGCTTTAAGTAGAGAAGGAATAGGTCAGTGAAACATAAGAGGTTTTCAAAATGTGCAGGGTCAGATGTGCTTCATTCCACTATTCTAAAGTGTTTGAAGTACTAGCTACTGAAATCTTAAATAAGTGAGAGATCAGAATGCACAAGGGCTGAAGTGGTACTGATATTTAATCATTGGAAAGGGGAAGGACAAGCCATATAATTACAGATCAGTCAGATTACTTTCCAATTTTTTTTAAAAATTGAAACAAAAAAAAACCCCAAACCAACAAAACATCTACTTGTAGATACTGAAAAGAAAACAAGAAAACGAGTAGCAGCCAACATGGCAAAAGCAAAACTTGTCAAAATAATTCCCTTTCCTTTTATGACTAGATAAAAGATCTATGAACACAAAGAGGCAGTAAAGGTCATTTTTTTCACAAGCAATATTAGGAATCAGTAAAGAGAGTTGGAAAACTGTAGAGATGCTGCAAAACTGTTTGGAAAAACAGTTAATAGAAAGTTACCTGTGGTTCACTGACAAGAACTGGCAACTGTATAAAGAAAAATCTATCCTTGCTCTGCTACTATTCAGTATTTTCATTGGGTTTCCTGGATATTTGCTTAAAAACTTATCCAACATTCTGATAACACCTAAGAGGGAGACTGATTGTGCTTCAAAATGATCTTCAGACAGTGGACATATGGTCTTAAAAATTTAGACTATTATTCCAGCAGGACAGAGCCAAGGTACCATGCTTAGGCAGATCCACATCAGATGCACAAGGCCAGGAAAGAGAAAGACTAACTAGATCCCAGATACATCAAGGTAGAAGTCTTCATAGGCTGCACTTGAACAAATGAAGCCAAAACTAGTGCAAACTTAAAACAAGAAAAAGGCAGTTTTTCACACTGAAAACCAAACAGCAATATAGCTTGCAAGACACATGAAGCAAGCCTTCCACTGTGTTCAGTTCTCCTAAGGCAAAATAATTCAAGAAAAACATGAACTTGGCAGACAGAGATCAAAGGTGAGAAAAGACCAGTAATTAAAGTCCTTCAATCTAGAGAAAAGACAGGAAAGACACAATAAAAACAGGATGGACTGTCCTAGCTCTGTGTTTCTGTAAATAAGTTTGACACTGCGGAACAGCCCTTTTGAGTTATTTGTAGTGAAGCAACAGTCACTTTGATAGTCTCCAGCATAGCAGAAAGGATCATTATAAAAAGGGTTTAATAGTCTACGGTAAAATCATAATGTAAAACGTAAAACTGTAATTCTGTGCTGTCCCTCTGCAGGTAAACTCTGTGTAGAGGGTATGTGGTGAGCAGAATTACCAAGGAAAGATCTGCTATGCTCAAGTGAAAACCACAGAAATTACAGGTAAAGATTTGGCCTCAGCTGAAGCTACGAATCCACAAGGCATTAGGTCTTCTTTTTCCCCTGAAGTTCCTTAAGGGCCACACTCTACTGTGCCTCAAAAAGGTTATCAGTCACAGAAGTGACTATACACATTTAGCATTACACTGTGTTTTCAGATGTTTCTAGTTTCAGAAATTCAGCCATCCAACTCACAAGCTCCAGAATATCCACAAAGAGATCAAAATAATCAGTCAAACCAATAAACACAAACCACTGCGTTTCCATCTCTGACACTGTATGAACATATCTGCACAAAAACCTAAACAATACAGATACGCATACTCAAAGAGGAAGTTCAAAAAATCCAGTATTTATGCAATAGATGATTTCGGACTTTTATAACTATAATTTCATTTGAAATATTTAAATCTGGATATTTTCCAAGGGCTTCCAGTTCTCCAATCTTTCCTTATTTTTAAGATTAAAAAAAAAAAAAAAAAAAAAAAATAAAGAATGAAATCATACCATATAATCCATTACACAGTTTCCCTAAATGGAAAGATAAAGAAACTAGGATAGCTTCATCTGCTTTGAAGGCTTTTTCACAGAATGATTTCACTAAAGGAAGCACAGTTTGACTCCTGTCATCTGAAAAAAAAAAAAAAATAATTTATGTTAGACATTTGACGACACCTGAAAATAAAAGCAGAGAGTGGACTTCCATAATAAGTCATGAAAAATCTCATTTAGTATTTCAGGAGTATTTTTGGCAGACACACACTGGAGGTAGAAAACAAGAGGTGAAGAGAATGATGAACATACTACTATAATGCAGGGCCTAAATTTTAATACTTACTTGTTTTATTTTGTTGTTTGTTTGAATTTTAGGGAAAAGGCATCACTCAGTAAAGGATGAGACAGAGAATAAATGAACAGTCATTAACTTCTCCATTCACCAAGAATACAGGGAGTGAAACCATACTGCAATACTCCTACAATAAGATTTCCTACAACAGTAGGAATACAGGGAGATCAAGACCAAACATGACAGTAAAATAAAAATCTGGATACATCAGAAGTAAATTTTTTCAATCTACTGAGAAGAGGAGTTTGAAAATCTTTTGGTAAATAATAAATTCAGAGAGAAACAAATTAATTAAAGATGGAGGAAAGAAATTAAATCATTTAGAAATTAAAGTCAAATCCAAGTAATCTGTGTCCTTATAAAATGAACAGGCAAATATTTAAAGAAATTTATGTGTTTTGACTTGTTTTAAATAAAACCCTTGTATTTGTGTACAAAAACATATTAAAAGTTTTAAAGGGCTTAGTATTTTTTTAATGCAAAAATCAACACTGAAATTCAGCACATAATTATGGCTGAACAAAATATTTAGGTTGACCTAAAGAAATATTTTGATATTGTGGGAAAGAAACTCTAGGATATCATTTTGGGTCATCTACCTCCAAAATGTTCATTTTCTAGTTCAGCCACGAAAACAAAAACTGCACAAAAATCAATTTTAGGAACACATTCATTAGAAAACCTGTAAATAAATAATCCCTGATTGCTTTCTCAAAGCTTTTTTCAATGGCTAAAAGCCACAGTTACAGCAGTTGGGGAATGCACGAGGAGGAGTGAAGACTGAGAGTTGCAAAGAGCAGCACAAACTTGATAGCATCAGTGAAAATGCTCAATAATTTAAAAATTAACCTACTATCATACTATTAACAGCAACTGCTAAAACTTCACTTATTGTATTCTCCCCCAAACTATCTTATTTCTTTATGTACTTCTCCATATGGTTTATATGCAATCATGTGTTTTAGTAGTCCATCACCAAGTTCCTGTACAATAAATATTTTTTCCTCGTTTATGTATCTGGAAGGAGTAATAGAGTCAAAAAGATGGGAGTGAGAGTGGGAAATGCGCAAAAGGCAGAGTTAGAAATGAAGATAAACAACTGAAGAATTTGAAAAATGACAGTATAAAAGGCAAAGTGGCAAATAATGAGCAGTGATCAACAATATAAAATATTTTTTCATATACACTATAGCGGTGACCTATCATGTACTTTGCTGCTTTGTACATTTCTAGTTGTAAAAAAAATCCATCAGAAAACTCAACTGAAACTCAGCCAGAAAAGCTGCCTGATACTGTCTTCTACATCCCGCTGAAAAAATCTAGACAGAGTGGTTGAGTTGATTGGAGGACAAGGCACAGTGGTGGTTACCCAGAATGCTCCTACACTGGAGCAGTCACAATAGCTCTCCTTAAAGTTTATCTCAATCAATGCTGAACTCAACTTATGATGAGAACCTGAGAACCATGCATGTAGGTAACCCACCACTATGCCAAAAGAACTGGATACAACAAAGAATTTCTCCTTCCTCATATGAAGACACAGACACTCACGCCCAGACCTGGAGAAGCATGAAGTAAGCACGTTGATCACAGGAAAGATATAGAGCACTGAGAAAAATACAAGCATTTACATTTCCTATTTCAAATTAAAAAAAAAAAAAAAAAAGCTTTATAAGATATACTCACTACCTCATTGCAAAGAAGAAGGCTTTCAGTACCACATAGCCACAAGTTTAAAGAGATTTAAATAGTAACTGCTGACACTTAGTACCTCTTAAACTGATCAGTTGTGCAAACTGCAGTTTATGGGACATAAGGAAATATTTTCTGTTCGAAAATTTATAAATGCATTTTATGTATAACAAACACTAGATGTTAAAACCTACAAGGTTTACTGATACACACACAAATATCATATCATTGCCCCAGTATGGGTTCTTCAGCTCAGAAGGCAGGCTGCAGTCCGTAATTAGTTTTAGCTTTGCTTCAGTTAAGAGGCAAAAACTAGTTAACAGCAAACTAGTTAACTCCAAGCAATGGCATTTGTTGACCTAACATTTTGTATTGTGTATTGATACCATTAACTAAGTACTAACAACCCAATATTCCTATCAATTACACAGTAATTTTACTTATTCCATGTAGTTATATTACAGTAGAAACTCGGAATAAGATAATGGATTTCATGGACAACTGGATCACCTTCCTTAAAACTTACTATGTATAAAGCACTGCAAGACATGAAATAAACAAAGGATGAAACAATAAACAAAATAAAATGAGAAATGCCTGAAAAATGCAAACACAACATTTAAATACATTTGTAAGATGCACTAAAGCATTAAGAACTGGGCTAGTAAGCTTGTATTAAATTCTTACCTGCATCAAACATATCAAGCAGATTCACTAAGGTCTCAAAAGCTGCAAGGCGTACACTGCTGCCCTCATCTCTTGCCAGTTCTACTAACTCAGGAAGCACAACAGTTTTTGTTAGTTCTGCCCTGCAAAGTGAGGCAAGCAGTCAAGAGAAAACTTAGGAAACCATTGCTACAGCCAAACAGAATTCTACCTTGAAATAATAAATTAGGTATTTTTTGGGCAGTCAAGAATGAAAAATTGACAAAGTTGTAAAGAAAGAAAAATTAAATAAAAACCTCCAGGCAATCTCAGGACCTTTGTCAACCAAAGAAACACTCAAATTTAAAATGCAAAACTTCATCAATAAAAAGCATTCAAATTAGCTCAAAACAAATCAGAGAAAATGCAGTCTTAAAAAAAAATAAAAAAAATCAAAGGAATACAGCTATTTCATTCTGTCATTTAAAAAATATTCTGATCAAATAGGCGGAAACTGCTCAATGCAATCATCCAAAGCCAAAAAATATTAAATATCATGCTGGATTGAAGTGTCTGGAAATATTACACTTCAAGGATGAGCCTTCTTTCCAGAGGGTAAGCAACTACTGCTCAGAGAAAACATGGTTTCCAAACTAGTCCAAATACTAGCTCTTAGGCTTGTTTTAAAGTAGTAAGGAAAGGGTTCTGCTTGTCTGGTTTTGCCTTGGTAATTACTAGGGCTGCTGCTGTGTGTGATGGTCCTGGCAACCTGAATCTATACACTGCCAGCAGATTATTGTCCTGTAAACTCTGATTTAGAAATCAGAGTTTAATGAGAGAGGTGACTAAGGAGGAAATACTTCTGACACAGAAACATTTACACTGTAAGGTGACTGGCATATTAAGTTCAAAAGAGTTTTGATCCTTGGAACAAAAGTATAGCTGCTGTAGAAGCTACCAATCAGCCTAATTTCCTATAGCCAGCTCTTGGTTGCTTTAAGAGATTAGAAAGACCTCTTTTGCAGCCCTACTAGAACTGGGAAGACATATCCAGTATTTCCATCTTTTCCCCATGGAAATGCAGATGGTATCTCAAATAAGACACCAAAAAAATCTCATGGGATTGCACAATAACAAAAAAAGAAAAGAAGAAGGAAAGTGATTGAGACAGAGAAGAACATACGGCCCAGGAAGGTGAGAGAAGGATACAAATGCCCTTTTTTTCACACCCAGAAATTGAGCTGTGGGAGGAAATGTGGACAGACATGACAACAAATGGGGAGGAGGGAATAAATGCTTTGCAAATGTGTTTCCAGGAATTTCTGTTTTGGTGGCATCAAAAATCTTCAAGCTAATATGACAGAACTATTCCTCCCTTCAAGTCTTGGTAGTTATGGGGAAAAAAAGCTCACTCCCTGAAGATAAACAGAACCCTTTCTTTCACTCACCTTTAATCTCCCATTAAACAAAAGTAAACTTTAAGATATATAAAGATACATGTATTCAGTAAAAAGAAATATAAGCTCAAATTATTCAGTAATTCAATTTAGTAAAATGAATGTTAAATTTCCAGTTTCACAAATCAACAATTTTTACAAACACTACCTTTAATTTCTACAATCACAAGTTCTTTTAAATTCAAGCCATTCAGTATGGAAAATGTTAAAATGATTTACCACGTTAACCTATGCTTTGTTATAAAATAGGCACAAAACCAAAGGAGTAACTTTATTGAGTAATTTTGTGATTTCACGTTATTCACATCCTCTGAACTTTTTCAGGGCAAAGACCTTGCAGAAGAGATGCCTATAGCACATATAAAAGATTATTTTGCATGCAATAAAGACAAGTTTATCTAGGAATCTAGAAATTACTATCCTGCATGAGCTTGCCAAACCAAAGTTTAATTAAGTATATGGCAGTAATGTTTAGTTCCTGCCATGAATATTCATTCCCTATATCTGAGTAAGCTAAAACACTGCCTGAACATATGCTTTTGCAGTATTCCACAGCTGAGAGGTAAATCACATTGCTTCAAGAATTTCTGGTGTTTTGGGTTTATTTGGTTTGGTTTGGTTTGTTGTTTTTTTTTTGTTTTCTTGGTTTTTTTTTTTATTTCAATAACTCAGAATTTAAATCACAACATAGTTCTCCGTTAAAAAAATAATTAAAAAATCATTCCACAGCCACAGGAAAGCATCTTTTCCATAAGCACCAGTACCAACATGCTAAAGTGTATATTTACTGTATCATTCAAATTACATTTCAGTTTCAGCCTCATCCTTGTATTTGCCATAAATTCACCTTTTAAAAAGCTAGAGGGACTCTTAAGATCTAATCTCTTCCTACTGTGTAACACAGGGCAGGGAACCTTGCTTGATCATTTCTTTAAGTCTGTAAGAGAAGTTACTGCTTTTTTTCTTCCTGACACAGTAACAGGTGGAGACCTGGAATTTTAATGCATTTGTTCACCCAAAGACCACTCCTGTGTGGGTAGTTAACATGTACTATTTATTAAAAGTTCCACACTTTTTCTATTCCTATATGTGCAATATTGAAATTCTTCCATCTTAAAGTTGATACTGAACTGAAATTCACTTACTTAACACATTTAGCATTTTTTCACAAATAACTGCACAGTAATTATTAGAAACTTCTAATACATGCCATAATCTCATTCCATTTTTAAGTAAACAGAGTGACATCAATGGATAATTGAGATGATTTCAAGAAGAACTCATTATTTACAAAAAAAAAAAAGCTGTTTGCATAGTTCAGCAATTTTACTATCACAGAGAAACAAAAACTTGAAAATGGAAAAGAGACAAGCACCAACCACTAATTCCTAAGAGCACATCTGTACACTCCAAATTCATTACTGAGTACACATGAATTAAGTTAGAAATCTTAAAAGGACTTTTTAGGTTACCATTAAATATTTTAGAGAGAGATTTTGCATTTAGAAGATTGTTATGCAAATTATACTCACCCTATTCCTTGAGCTATATGTTCCAGTTGCCGACACATGCAAGTTCTAACTTCATATTCCGCGTCCTGGCACAGTGATTTTACCAATGGAAGAATGTCTCTTTTAATACTAAAAATGTGAATATTTTTATTAATTTACAGGACAAGAATATATAAATTCCACTCTGTAGTACTCAAATTTTACCCATATATTATTTCTAAAGAAAATTATATGGACATCAGACACATTTCTGTAAAGAAACAGTCATTGTAATTTGCTCATATTCCAACTTTAAAAAAAAAAACCTACAAAAATAGTAGGTAGGCTTACAAATGCTGTCCTCATTTAATTACCATCTTCAGTACTATCTCTGAGCAGCCACTGCAAGAATACAAACTATTATATAAATGGAAGTGCAAATCCCAATTAGTATCTAATATCTCATCTTTGGTATACACGTATCACCAAGGAGATATTTGGGGGAAAAAAAACAGAAAAAGAGTTTAAGATTAAAATCTTTAGTGCTGCGGCGCCTTTACAGAGAAGTAGACCCAAGTATTCAATGGCAGATACAAAATAACTATTTTGAATCTATTTAAGTAAGAACACATACTAAAACTTGGCAGAATCAGCCACTGTGTTTCCTTTCACTGCCCAAGATGCTTTCATGAGTATGCATAAAATATCTCTATCCAAACCCTTATGCTGTTGCAAAACCCAACAGAAATATGAAGAGACATACAAGAAATCTTCAAGCCAGCTTGCTCAGCCTTCCCTCATTTCAGTAAAAATTAATTTACTTCTTACAACAAAATTTGGCCTCAAGTTTTAAGAACTGTACAAGGTCTTGGGAATCTGGCTTTGTAAGAATTTTCTGAAGTAGGGACTACTTCCAAAAAAAAAGACTTGTTTTTAACTAGCTGTTGAAACAGAGGATAGAAAAACTGATGTTCTATTCCAATACTGGGATTTTTTTCAACACTCTAAAAAATAACTTGGGAGTCATGTGAAAGACAAAATAAAAGTTTTTAATTGTAGTATAAATTTTAAGAAGAAAAACTATGCCATTCTGAAGAAGAACATGAAGATATACTTATAGATTTTATACCTTGCCTACTTCAGAGGTCAAGTATGTCTCCTGAGACTATACCAAGCAAGACCCCTCCTGCTAGGGGAACAACAGTGCATCATTAATCTTACTCCACCTGTGACATCCTAACCTGTGGATCCTGGTATCTTTTCAGCCCTCTGAACTGCATGCACTCAGACCACTTTACCAGAGAATCACTACATCCCAGAAAATTCTCAGCTGTCTTCTTAACATGTAGCTTCTGTACAGAAATGGTGCTACTATCTGTTCACTGAAATGGAGGGTTTCCTGCTTCTAACAGCAAGGAATCATATTAAAGAAACACAGCAAAAGAAGGTATGATTATTTGAACTTATAATGGCTAACATTATTAAAATTTCTCATAAGATTCCAAGTAATCTGAAAGTCACTTGATTTTCATAAGAATGTACCATCAATTAAACAAAAGCAATTCTGCCAGAATCCTACCAACTTTGAAGATAAAGGTTTGAAGGCTTTGGTAATATTATCAAAAAATACTACTTTATCATGCTCATTAACTTTTGTATGTCCATGAAGTGTATTCTACAAAGCAAATGAAGATGTAGACAGCTTCCTTTTGGCTGCTTCCAGTTCTTTTTCTTGAAGACAAAAAAAAATCATAATTTAAAGAAATATATTCCTAAATGTCTTGTAATATGGTCCTGTTGATCACCTTTTTTGTTATGCTGATTTTTTGCATTTTAAGGCAAATCAAAATCATTATTAGAGAGGAAATCCTCAGCTAGATGTAATTTCTGTGCATTTAGTAGCCCTCAGTGGATTTCTTTTGTAATTCAAAATCTCATGTGGCTAGCTACCTGGATAGAAAACACGTCTGGTGAAATGGCCCCACTATCATAAGGCTGGATAAACTGTCCAAGGAATGTACCATACCAACTACTTTGGGCAGATTTACTTTCATCATTGCTTCCCTCTTCTGCACTGCTATTGAAACTCACAGACACTGAATGTAAGAACTGGATAATAACAGATAAAAACAGCAGAACCTGATACATCTCCACATAATTAGGGATAGAAATAAAAAAAAAAGGATCTACATGTTAAATTTGGTTATACAAATAAAAAGGAACAGAATTCTTTTCTTTATGTCAAGAAAGTCTAAGGTGATGTTGTCTCTCTCTGTAAGTTTCAGAGAAATTAACTCTTTGGCTTACTTCCCAGTAAGAAAAACAATATGGAAGAATGGCATGAAAGTGAACCTATTTGAACCTCTGGAAGAATAAAAAAACTGAAATTATAACTGAGAAACATCACCAAGTCTGAATAGGCTAGTGACATAGTGAACATTTTTTTTATCAGTAATTAATATCCAGATAAAGGGGTCTGTAAAAAGAAAGCATTTAATTTTTGCAGTAAAGTCTACTTTTCTTGTAGCAATTTTTTGCCCACTAACCAAGAAATACTGGTATATACTGTGGAATTAAAATATGTGTACAATCTACTTACATACGAGCTTCAAATTTGTTAGCTAATTTTCCCATGATTTTACAACTAAGTAAGCGGGACTGAAGTGTTTGAGAAAGCTGTGCTTTGGAAACAAGTGGATTCAGGATCTATACGAAAGAAAAAAGAAGAAATATGAACAGAATAAATGTGAGCAATAAATAATGTATTCCTCTTTAAAAAAAAAATCATCTAGAAAAACATATCCCAACTGTCATCTACCCTTTTCATGGAATTAATCAGCACTAACAGTAATGATGTCTATGTACTATGTCTTAATAGTCTATTGGAAACCCATATTCAATATTCAGTGCTAATTATAGCATATTAAATGCAAAATCTTGGCCCAAATAGCGGTTTATGAGTCACATCACAGACACAGTTGCACATCTGTCTACTTGTGTCTTTATTTTGAAGCTATGTTGTATATGAATATTCATAGGTTTTAGCTGGTAATTTTCACAGAAGTTGATAAATACATTCCTGCACAAGAAAAAAAGAAAATATGCACCAAAAGGTAAAGGAAGCCTCTCTGAGGTTCTTTCTGTAAGTTTTCCCAGGAAACACCTCCTTTGATGTAAAATTTTGAGGCAATGATCCCTCTCGATTATGCATACTTTGGGGATTTGTAGGGAAGAGATTTCCTTTCCATACAGATGTAGAAAAAAATGCATCTTTATGGAAGCTCTGCCATCAATTGTTAGATCACCTCTATCGTGCCAGAAACAAACTAAGGAAGGCCTTTAAATATATTATTCTTTTGTGCAGAAATAATCACGGAAAACCAGCTGCCAGGCTAAGAGGAACATTACAGAAATGTATCTCGTCTGCCACAGTTCCTCACTCAGTCTCTTTTGCAGAACTTCAAAACAGGATAATATACAGGGCAGGAAAGTCCACCAATATTCTAAAAGACCAGCTGAAATTTTTAGGCAAGAGAATCTTACCATTGTAAGGATAAATAGATCACTCAAACTAGAATTAGTACATAAAATATGCTTCTACCTATAATACTGCATAAGAAACATACCATTAGTTATCTAAAAACTGTATATTACTTATTTGGCTTTTGAACTGTGACAGCAAACACACCGTATCTAGTAATACTAACTTCAATCACTGACCTAGACACAGTGTCTCCCAAGAAGTAGCCATTGCCAGAGACAGGATACTGGGTGAGGCTGACCTCTGGTCTGAGACATACACCTTTCCTTATATCCTTGGAATCTATGATAGTCCTATGGTTTTTATTTATGAAAAAGAAAACAAACCCCAAATCAAACAAAAAAAAAAAAAAACAAGCAAAACTTCAAGAAAAAAACCCTCTAGAATATTCCATGTTTTCTGATACAAAAACACATAATGGTTTGTGTTGGAAGGGGCCTTAAAGATCATCTCGTTCCAACCCCCTGCCACGTGAAAAGATTCTTCAAGTAACATGAAAGGCCTCTTTTCAGATTTAGATTTCTGTATAGCTCCTGAATCAGTACTTTTATCAGCTGTGATCTTCCCAAAGCAAATCTTTGCGGAAACTTATACATGTGCTCCTAGAGACAAATCAGGGGAGAAACTTCACCATCTTTAAATGGCATCTGTAAAACTGTATTTCATTTCGATTTTGGAGGTGACTAGAATAATTAATCTTTTGTTAATTTTCCACCTAACTTTTTACCCTTTAGAAGTTTATTTTCTAAACAGTACCAAATTTCAATTAGCCACTGATTTTAATAAATATTTTTATACTACACAATCTTATATTTAATTCTTGATATTGTTTTAAATTATAAACACAGTAAAATATGCCTGTTGCAAAGCTTTTAAATTTAACAATGAAATATGAATACTTAAAGCAAAACTGGTATCAGAGTAAAGGGAAGTGATATTATGAATTAGTGACAGATTTCCTTCCTCTTTCTTGATCTACACAGTGAAAAATTAAGAGTGATTCCAGGGCATTAGGTGTTTGGTGTATAACAAACACTGAAATACGCAATGAAATGGATCTTTTGCATTCAGTTCCATTTAACAGAAATCAGAATTTTAGTCCAGCAGCAAACAAAATGTAGTTTCTTCATGAAGACAGAGATACTAACCTGTAAACTAAAACTGGATACATGAAACATGTTACGGGGAGTACTAAGTGAAGTGGAAGTGTTGCAGTATGAAGTATTATTTGCTGAAGAACATTAACATTTTTAATATCACCTTCCTGTCTCACCTTTTAGCACATTTCTTCTCTTACAGTATGTTCCACAGACTGTTTTCACAGGCATAGAACTTTCACAAATCTTAATGAAGGCACAGGGGGTTGGAGCTAGATGATCTTTAAGGTCCCTTCCAACCCAAACCATTCTATGATTCTACAGTTCGATGGAAGAGCCAACTTAAGTTGCCAGAGTTCAAATGCTCACAGAAAGATGACAAAAAAATAGCTTAGCTCATTTTGTGACTTAATATCTCCTTTTGCCTCTTCCCTGAACCAATCCACCTCAAAGGTGCTTTTTAGGTTTAACTCAAGAATGAAATTTGCAGAGAAATACAATCTTATAAAATATTATTAATTTATTGCTAGCATAAGCTTGAAAGTATTATTACCTCATGTCTGACAGTCTCTTTTGGTAAAGCTTCTATTACAGCAAGAAGAGTTTCTAGCCATGCATTGCTGACACCTGTTACAATGAAATGGGTTATATGTTATGTTGTACATATAATAAGTATAACAAAACACACCTCAGTTTTACAAAATTAGTTATTTATACACACATATCTTTAAGGAACTTGTATCTAAAAACCACCAAACTACATATTTAAGACTTCAAACTAAGAAGCAGGATATGCGAGAAGCAAATTCTGCCCCCATTTTCTTATATCTTTTAGATTCCTGTGCAAAAATAATTATTCTCTTTGTTTTTAAAAAAATATTTCCCTCATTTAGAAGCACATTCTTTTCTGATGCCCACTGAAACTTTCTAGTTTTCTAAGAGGCCTTTTTTTCCTTTCTATTCTCAAAATAGTGTCAAAGATGTTAAGCAAAACTAATCATCACAAAAGAAACTTCAAACATCCTCCCTCCATCTTCTCAGCTACAAAATGCTGGTACTTCAGTAGAAGCTCGAGGACAGTATCAACTGGGTTTTAGCTCTCCAGGCAAAGGATTTTTGTTTGCTTCAATCAGAATTAGATTTAAATATCAGTATGTTAGTAGTCAAAATCTTTGCAACCATGCAAGTCTAGATACAAAGTGAAAGCGCTTGCACTCACTGCTTTACACAGGATTGTACAGTCACTAAGGAAACAAAACATGCAGAAGTGATCAGTCATCAGTACAGCTGTACAGCCCTGACCTGCATCTCTGTGTTCCAGGTTTTGGAGAATGATGTGTAGGAAGGAGTGGGAATACGTATGAATGGACATCAACTCCTCTTGCAGAACAGTCAAAAATGAAACAGCAGCTGTTAACTGCATTTCCACTCCTGCAACATGCAGCACCTCCTGTATAGTTTAAAATTATATCAATTTAGAACATACAGAAAAAAAAATGTACTGAAAGAACATTCAAATTTGTACATTTGGTTTTAAGAGTGAATATACAACAATGTGGGTAACTTACAAAATTGGCTGTAAAAGTATTTTAATAGTAATTACTTGGAGATATTAAAATCTCTTACAGAAACTTCAAAGAAAAATAAATTATAATATTTTTGGTGACTTTCAGCTTCAACAATGCATTATGTGTGTTTTTTCCTACCGTACAAAATGAGAGGTAAAAATAGACCAACTAACAATTGCAATTCTGCTATGAACCTTAAAAAAATTCAAACAAAGGATTAAAAAATATTTCATTCATCCAGTGAGAGACACTAAAGTAGCAGAAGGAATTTTAAATTTTGTCCCTTGCCAACTGACACAGAACACAAATAAAAATGTGTGAGTTTATACATATACACACAGTCTTAAGAATAAAGCAATATGTAGTAGAATATTTACCTATGTAACTCAGCTTTTCCTAGTGTACTTAGTAAAATTAGATAAATACTTAGCTTTAACCATACAAGAATATAATTAATCAGGCTGTCTTTAAAAGCATCAGTTCAGAAGTTAAATGTAATAAGGGAATAAAATATTACTAAATTTAAATGAAACAACAAGGAAATTTCAATTTCAGATCTATGCACACGACAAAGAGCTTGTAGAATGCAATATATAACATAGCATTCATTTTAAGTATGTACATACCTATTGGCTAGGTGAACATTTATTTACTTGTCTAAACATGTCTCACTCATGGCAAAATAAATTGTATTATTGTACTAGTAAAGCATTACATTCATTTTACAATTGATTCCAAACTTAGTAAGAGTTTAAAGCCCATACTTCCTATATAGCACGTTATATACGTGGGTTTGTTTCTGTTTTTAAAGCGCTGAGATGAACAGTGGTTTCTCAGATCCTATATCAAAAATCAAAGATAAACTGATATTTTAATAAATAAAAAAACACTAGACCAGAATAAGAAAACGTTCATTATGAGCCTAAGTATTACATATAAATTTTGTTGAGAAAACAGTTTGCAGGGAACATCTGAGAAATGTAGTAGACTTCTCTTACTTCAAAGCAAAACAAAAAAAAAGTTTTCATTACAGAAATGCCAACCAGCTTGTGTGCAAATGTGTAACTTTTAGATTACCTTATTTCAAAGAGAACCGTTACTTATCTCTCAACATCTGTCTCAGTGTATAGCCATATATGTTTGTAAAAGCATTTCCTGCATCCCTGCTCTCCAAAATGAATGAAAGAAGAAGCACTGCACAGCTTACCAATCAAAGTATTATAAAAGATTTGCATTCAATAGCAACAGAAACCACCCTCTTGTTATCTCCACAGCCTACACTGTCCTTGTTATTCAATTGTTATTACAACAGCCAAAGACAAGAATAAGGACACCAGCAATTTTATAATTTGAATATTTCTGGTATTGAAATACCTGTGCACACTGTCCCGGGATTTTGGTTTACACTTGCTCAAAAAAAACGTACCCAAAATAATTAAAAGAGCTATTTACAAACTGTGGATACTAAGACAGCACTGCAGACTGGAATGTAATGGAGCTGAATTCAATTTTATGTATGTATTCACTTTGTACGCAATGCAAACAGGGTTACTTACCATCAAATAAAGTTTCCACATAGTCTCCTCCACAGATCCACACAACTCTGGATAACCATGTGTGAGAACACATTCTCTGGATGTGCCTCCTCATGGACCTCAGGAGACACTGAAATGTAAATTTCTAGATTGCTTACACACCTGCTTACATTGGTGCTTGCACTCAGAACTGTACAGTCCCACATATGCAAATATTTGGGTCTCACTCTAATTTAACTGAACCCAAGTGACTTAAATTTACTTAATATAAACTTATTTATTTAGAAGGTAATGTTATTTTTCCATACATGGATCCTCCACTGATTTTTATTCCAGAGGAAAAAAGTTTTTCCTGTCTTACTCAGAAAAGCATATTTAACAGAATTTGAGGGTATTAGCATGTTCTTGAACTATTGTTATGTCTACAAGTTAAACTCAGGCAAGCAAACTTGCGAAATTTAGAAGGCCTGGCTTACTCCATTAATTGGAAAACAGAAAATTCACCTCTAATTTAACACACTTTATGTCCTGCAGCAACAGAATTCTCTTGAAAGAATGCTGCAAGCAGAAACATAGTCAATCGTTTTAGTAACTGCGTTGGTATAAGAAAACCCTTCCCTTAGGACTAGAAAGACACAGAAATAATGATGATTACAGAAATTCAAAGGTACAATGAAGATGAACCTTAAAATAAATACTAGGCATAAGACAGGATTAAAATCACCCCACCTCTTCTTAAACTATAAAATCAACTAGGGAAAAATAGAAGCTTTCAAAGGGAGACTGCTATACTAGGAAAATTAAATAGCTGTGAAAACGAGTTTTGGAACTAATCAAACAGCAACAAGTAAGGCTTGATGTATACACTTCAACAAGAGTAACACTAGTTTTCTGCAATCACAGCATTTGGAAAAGTCTCTTCTTAGTTAATCAGACACCTGCAATCTACCTCCACTTCTTTCAGTGGTGGTGGTCAAGGATGGGTAACAGGGAAAATGCTAATAATATCATTTGAAGAGAGCCATTTGATGCGCAAGAAGAAATGCTAATGAGAATGTCAAAGCTTTCCCTAAATCCACATTTCAATGACTTTCAAGGTTCATGAGGAGGTGCATGCAGAAATCCAGAGTGAGGATCTCTATGCAAAAGAACCCATAAAAGGACGCCACTTCATTTTAATTATCAAATTTTAAAAAATATTTCATAACCTCATTCTTACGTTAACATCTAAATGATATACGATGCATTTATTTTATTAGCATAACCAGAATACTGATGCACAATTTAATCATTACTTAGATCTGGTATATTTGTTGACATATGTTTGATTTCTCTCATCTTAGACCTGAAAAACTTACATTAAATAGGGTCTTTGACATCATTGCAATTTAGTTACGTTTTAAGGAATGATAAGCAATTCACATATATTAATTTCTATATTTACTTATAAAAGTAACCAGGTTTATCAATTACTCACAAGTGAAATAAAAATGTGTATTGTATCCAGACAGAGCATTCCTTGCATGTATTAGTTCCTCTGGCTGTTTATCCTCAGCTTTAGCAAAAGCAGTATCTATTCTCGCCTTGGGCTTCTGCAAGTATTCTAAATAAATACACTGGCTTCCCTACCAGGCGTATGGTGACACTACCTTCAGATAAACAGCACCCTGAAACTACCACACAACTCATTTTTCTTAGTATTAAAGAGTTGTTTTGGTTGTTACAATTCCATAATTATATGAAAAATGAGTTGTATAGTAGTTTTATGTGCAAATTGAAATTCATAAATGATTTTCCCTGATCTAGAGAATTGAAACCAAGTGCAGTAATTTAAATCAGCTTATTTCCCTGCAGTGCCAGACTACATGTGAAAAATTCCAATTGCAGTTGAGTTCAATTATGACTTTATAGACTATAACAGTGTCCATTTAACATTCAGGACTATTCCTCCAATAAAAAAAAAAAAAAAAGGATAGCACAAAAAAAAAAATAGGTCAAGTTAATGATTTTGCAGTTGAAAGTGCAGTGAACATGGGTACAAGAGACTGTCCTTTTATTACAGATTAAATAATTATGAGATAACAGAGCAACAGTGAAGAACCTACTTTGTAAGAGTGCAGCCACAGAAAAAAATTCAACTCATATACATTCCAGAAAGTTTCTATTTATAAACTTCAAACCTGAAAGGAACACTTAGATTTAAACTGACCTCATTATATTTCATTCTTTTACCTCTGTCTTAAGCACATTAAGTTTCATTTAATTTATCATCTAGGAAGGCATTTAGTTTTGATTTAAATGACACTGCAAGATGAAAAACACTACTTTTCTCAGTTATTATTACAACTGCCTGCTTAATTTCTAATACTTTTGTCTTCAGTTTCTAACCCTTCTTGATGTGCTGTTTTCTGTTAAATGCCCTTCAATAGTTTGCAGGGAGATATTTTTACAAAGTAATTAAGTACTGCCTGATCTAAACACACTGAACTCCAATTCTAACTAAACAAGTATTTTCCAGACCCCAATGATCATCCTCTTAAAATTTTTTCCCCGTTAATATATAAAGACCTAAGACTAGAATCAAAAACTGTATTCCCATTCAGGATCACAAAAGGTTCAGGAAATAATAAAAAGTTGAAAGGTGGTATCTGATATTGACAGAATCACAAGATGGCTGAGACTGAAAGGGTCCTCTGGAGGTCATTTTGTTCAATCTTCCTGCTCAAGCAGGGACATCTAGAGCCAGAACATGTCCAAGACAGTTTTTAAATACCTCCAAGGAGGGAGACAACATCCTCTCTGGGCAACCTGTGCCAGTGCTTGGTCACCCATACAGTGAAAAAGTGTTTCCTGATACCCAGAGGGAACCTCCTGTGTTTCAGTTTCTGCCCATAGCCTGTGGTCTTGTAACCGGGCATCACTAAGAAGAATGTGGTTCCGTCTTCTTTGTATGCTCCCTTCAGGTATTTATATACATTGATAAGATCCTCTCCAATGCTTCTTTTCTGCAGGCTGAGCAGCCTCAGCCCTCTTAGCCTTTCCTTATAGGAAAGATGTTCCAGTCCCTTAATCCTTTTCAGGGCCCTTCACTGTAGTCTCTTCAGTATGTCAATGCATCTCTTGTACTGGGGAGCTCAGAACTGGATGCTCCAGGTGTAGAAGAGTTGAAGGAGGAGTAGAGGGAAAGGATCACTGTCCTCAAGCTGCTGACAATGTTTTGTCTAATGCAGCCCAGGCTGCTCTGTCACAGTGACACAAAGCCAGCTCATGCTCAACTTGGTGTTCGTAACGACTCACATGTGTTTTCAGCAGGGTGACCCACACATCTGTCGGTGCAGATTATTACCGAATAAATCTACCACATGGAACGTAAGACTCCTCTACAGTAGGGCTTGCATTTAAATATCCTACAGAAGAATATTTGCTAACTAATTGTTGAAGACTACATACATATCTTTCAGTCAATGAATTCATACCAAAAGAGCAGAACATAAGTCATTAAATCAGTTATTTATAAATACTAAACTGTCCCTTGAGCAGCCTCTTTCTTAAGAGTAGGGGACAGAAGGAGGATTCAGTTTAAGACCAATTCCACAAACAATAAGAAATACACCAGTTTTTCATAATATCATATTTTTTCTGGAATTCTTCTATTAATGTAATGTTTAGGTAGCTGCCTTAAAAGTAGAAAGAAAAATTTAAAAAATGATGATAGATATGTGTCCACACAGCTCTTCAATAAAAGATGGAATTCAGTTCTTTCAAACATCAATGAAATATAAATGAGAATTTACTGGAATAAGTACCATTTTCACATAGTCTCACTTTGCTATTTAGAAATCACATCCTTGGTCAATAGAAAACTCTATAACATAAGCATGTAACTCGGCTATTTCACCTTTGTTACTAATGTAATTGTATACTGTCTTACAGCTGGCAATGAGAATCCAATACAGATACAGCAAGAAAACTCACAGCAGCTACTCAGCCACTACAGAAGACTTTTTGCTCTCAACCCTGAAGTGCTTTCTATAGAAAGGACAAATAGTTAAACTCTTTCCCCCTTTCTGAAGTGATGTAAATAATTTTCTTAAGCACTAGTTGTTTGCAAAATAAAATAACAATCCTGTTGGCAAACTATGTTACAATAGGAAAGAATTTATATTATATGGAAAAAAAAAAAATCTACAAAGTGTCCTGGTAAAATCATGACTGTCACACTAGTGAAGATCTCAAACGTGCCTCCAAAAATGCATGGGGAAACTGAGTCTGCCCATAAAATTAGGAACACAGTTGAACGCTTTCAAAACAAAATTTCAGCAAGAACCATTATGATTGGCTGGTTCTCAAGAAGAGTTCTCAAAAAGCTGTCAAATCACTGGTAAATGTTTAGAATATGTAAATAGCCTAAATTCTGCATACTTTTCCTGGGGGTTGTTTTGTTTTGCAGTTTGGTTTTTTGTTGGGTTGTTTTTTTGTTTGTTTGTTTGTTGTTGGGGGGGGGGTGTCACAAGAAAAAAAATAGTGCCTGCAATACTTCAGAGACTTGGTGAATTAATATGGAAGATGATCAACTGGACATACCTCTCCTAGAGATGGAGTTTGCAGTAAATTGGACTTTTGCCTTTGTTAAACTACTATTCAATGTTAACTATTCTATGATTCTATGATACTTACACTGGCAGGAAAAGATACTTTCAAACCTTATTACAAGTAACTTACTCTGATTTTTGGTAAGACCCGACGAAGTGTTTCTGCAGGATTTTGTCGCATCAGGACTGGAAGATTTGCCACCACACTTGTTCCTTGGATATCCTGGCCAGAACTTACAAAAATATATACATACAACACATTAATCTCTATGATGATTACAAGCTCATAGCTTTCATTAAAGAAAAAAGAAAAAATCACAATAAAAACCAAACACACTACCCAGGTTATTCATGTAACTCAAAAGAGGCATTACTCTTTTTTTGTACAGTATATAGTAGAAAGCAACATTAAAAAAATATATCTACCATAAAAGCTGTTCCAATACAGAATGTTCTAATTTTTAGTGTAGCTTTGGAAAAAAACAGAAAATGTTTGAGAGATCTTTCAAACTCAATGATCAAGGCAGTGGTTTTATGGAAGCTTCAATATTATAACAATATAAGTGATAAAGCATAGGGAGTGAAAACAAATAGGAAATATAAATGAAAACTACGTTCAACATACATTTTAACAGAAATCTACCATTTTTTCCTTTATGTAGGGAAAACAGTCAGCTGTATAATCAGATGTATATTGACAAACATGATTAAAGATTACAGATCTTGTACCTTTCTCCTTATCCTATGTCTCTCAATAGTATCCCATAATTGAAAAAAAATGAAGTGACAAAAAAAAAGGCAGAATGGGAGGGAAATGGTAGGCAGCTATGAAGAAAAGGCATGAAGTGCAGACAAAAACTACCAAAGTGGATAAACTTCTACAACCAAATGAGAAAGAGAAAGGCTCTGGATAAAACTAAATATCAAAACATCCTTTTTCCTGTTTAAATGCATCAAATGAATTTTGTTAAACAAATTCAGAATTGTTAAAGCAGCTTAGCAGTTCATTTTTAAATAAGCACACAAAGCTCGTCTGTACCCATGCAAGCATTTTGCTTAGTGTGACATTACAACTAAATGTACAATATGATTATACATATAATTTCAAAAGAAATTCATAGTAAACCCACTTTAAAATGTTTCATATATCACTCCCCATCCCATCATCATTCCAAGTTTTCTTAGTGAAATATATGAGCTCAAGAAGGGGACTTAGGTACATAAATTGATCACAGGACAGTAAATTTGCACAACCACCCTCTCATCTGGTTTTGCCTCTGTAGTATATTAGGGAATTCACAGTTAAGATGCAAGGCCTTTCTGCAGCATTCCATTAATGCTCTACATCACCCAAAACATTCATGCCTTCCAGAAGATCAACTGAAATTATAGATTATGACTGCTACTGATGTAAAATTAAGGTGATGTGAAGACCATATTGGATAGGGCCTTGAGCAACATGCTCTAGTGGAAGATGTCCCTGCCCATGGCAGGGGGGTCAGAATTAGATGATCTTAAGGTCTTTTCCAACCCTAACCATTCTATGATTCTGAAGAGATGTTAGGAACCAATGTTCTGGCTGGTTACTATATACACCCCTCCACATTTTTAACTGTTGTCTGTAAACACAAGAAAGTTGACAAGTTTTGACAGGACAAAGCTACACCAAAGCCCTTTTTAATGCCATTCAAAACAGCAATAATGGATGAAAGTACAGCTTTTCAGACTGATCTTAATATTAGCAACCCTTCAATCTTATTTGATAAATATCTACGAGCTCTCAACAAAAACACATCTCCCAGTAACATCTAAACTCAGTGAAAGGACGGTATTCTGACAACTACTGAAAATGGATTTAATCAATGATTAATAACTGATCTATTTACAGCTTCCAATATTTTTGCATTATTCAAACCCATTTTATTACCTAATTTAGAGTCATGAATATTAAAGCCTTTCATGTTTATAGCAGATTTCCCCGAGTATCACATACTAATTCCAGCAAAGCTTTAAAGTAAAACTGAGAAATCTAAAGCTCCCAGAGTAAAAAGGCTCACGATGTGGATGAGATCCACAACTTCTTATGACACAATTTGCAAGGAAAAGATGCCTATATTTGTATTACCCAGCAATAATGCAAAAGTTCAAGGTAACTTGCAGAGGCTATGTAACTGAAAATAAATCCTAACTGCTAAAAACCGCAAACAAAATGCAACCTTTATCCACCAGAAATGTAAAGCAAAGGGGAGCATCTCGCTTTAAATCAGAAATGCTTAGTATCTGGCTTGCTGCCAATTAAGAAAGTGAAGCAGGAGGCATTTCAACACCTACACAGCCTGTAATTTTCCAACTGCTTTTTATTTTTGTTCTATATCTACCAAAGGAGCTGCACCATAGATTTTCTTTAAATATTAAATAATTCAGGATTATAGTGAATTATTGCTAGATGCTCAAATTTAGACAATTTTGTAATAATAAATGTATTAAATGCTTAATCTTTTCTTTAGAGCCACAGTAAGCTCAGTGTAATGAAGATGCTATTCCTTTATTAACTGCGCTAACTATAGAAGAACTCAACAGAGCCCTATACTTAGAAGCAATTTTGCTCAACCTCTTTTATGCTAGCAAAATGCATATAGATAATAACATTTAAATATAAAACTTCAGGAGTCATCTTCTGAGTTCATCCTACAGGAGATCCCAGTGACTTTACAATACTGGGAAACCTCAACCAGAGGGGAAGCTCTCATGCTTGAATGCTTCTGTCCTACCACTTAACTGCCTCTGTAACACCAATTGCTCACTGTCAGCCAGCAGCACCAGAGCTGGTCTAACTACACAGCTCATTGAAGAACTGGTCCTTCTCAAATGTAAGCGTAGCAGTAAGTCTCTCCCTCTAGCCCCTGCATTTAGTTTTACTTTTTTCTACCCTCACAAAATGAAGTCTGTATTGTATTTGGGAGTGCCTTGAGACTGTAACAAATCCTCCTAGAAATCATTTACAAACATACAAATGACAAAAAGTGACTGGGAGTCATCAGCCTGGATTTGTGAAGGGGAAAACATGCCTGACCAACCAACTTGACAGGCTTCTACAATGAAATGACTAGTTTGGATGGTGGAAGTGGCTTAATTTATTTTAGCAAGGCTTTTGACACTGTGCCCCATAATATTCTCATAGATAAAGCAATGTAGGACAAACTAGTTAAACTAGGAAAGTGATGTGGACTGAAAACTGGCTGAACTATTGAGCTTAAACATTTGTGATCAGTGGCAAGGCTGCCAGCTGGAAGCCAGCCATGAGTGGTTTACCTCAGGGTCTACACTGCAGGCAATACTGTTCAATGTTTTCATTTATGACCTGGGTGATGGTACAGAGTGCACCCTCAGATAGTATGCAGATGACACAAAACCCGGTTGAAGGGCTGATAGACCAGATGGCTGTGATGCCTCAAGTAGCTGGTGAAACAAAGAGGGCTCTTACAAAGGTCAGTGGTGGGAAATACAAGTCCTGCAGCTGAGAAGGAATAACTCCATGCATCAGCACAGGCTGGGGGCCAGCCAACTGGAAAATAACTTAGCAGGAAAGAACATGAAGGTCCCAGTGAATACCAAGCTGACCAGAAGCCAGCAATGCATCCCTGTGGCAACGACAGGTGAATACATTGCTGTAATAGGCACTGCTTGGAGCAGGGAGGCGAGCTAGATGATCTCCAGAGGTCCCTTCCCACAACTATAGAGTAGATCGGGAGAGGTCCTCCTTCCCCTCTACTCTGCCCTGGTGAGACCGCATCTGGAATATTGTGTCCAGTTCTGGGCCCCTCAGTTCAAGAAGGACAGGGACCTGCTGGAGAGAGTCCAGCGCAGGGCAACGAAGATGATTAAGGGAGTGGAGCATCTCCCTTATGAGGAAAGACTGAGGGAGCTGGGTCTCTACAGTTTAGAGAAGAGGAGACTGAGGGGTGACCTTATTAGTGTATATAAATATATAAAGGGGGAGTGTCACGAGGATGGAGCCAGGCTCTACTCAGAGGCAAACAATGATAGGACAAGGGGTAATGGGTACAAACTGGAACACAAGAGGTTCCACTTAAACTTGAGAAGAAACTTCTTCTCAGTGAGGGTGACAGAACACTGGAACAGGCTGCCCAGGGAGGTTGTGGAGTCTCCTTCCCTGGAGACATTCAAAACCCACCTGGACACATTCCTGTGTAACATTTTCTAGGTGTTCCTGCTCCGGCAGGGGGATTGGACTAGATGACCTTTTGAGGTCCCTTCCAATCTCTAGAATACTGTGAAACTGTGAAACTATACTATGATTGTGTTCAGGACAGGTATTTCCAGGTTTGCAAACTTCCAGCAAGCTCAGGGCTGACAATAAGATTTCTTGTATTTAGAACAACTACCGACTTGAAAATATATGCTTAAAAATTCAATGTAAGTTTAATTTTAAAAGTATTCTAAAAATCAGATTCTGCAAAATCAGAATTAAAAAAAAATTAAAAGTCCCTGGGTACTCAATTAGGAGCATTTGTATCTGGAAAGGGAATGAAGGACTACAGCTCCTTCTATGGCATGAAGAAAGACTAGTCACTGAATGTTCCCAAAGAGAATATTACCACCAAGGAGTCTGAAAAAGAAGATAGATTTACATATCTCTCTACTCTATTTGCACTAGCCTGAAAAATACAAAAACAGGAGCAGAATGTTGCATTGGAAAAAAGATTGAAGTACAATGTTTACCCTACAGTTAAAGTACAACTCTAAATAAAAGCACTGTGTTCATGAACTGACTTTTCTTTAAAGTGTGGCTAACTATCAGTTCACCAAAAAATAATTTGCTAAATAGCAATTCTTGAATCAACCATGGAAATCTGTGCTTTGTGTAACTTAGTTTTACAGACCAAGTAGTTCTGATGGATGGCTGCAGGGGATTATGATGTTAACTCAACCGCCCATAAATGACATTATTTTCAGTGCAAGATGACAAAACGTTCTCTGTTGGCCTAAATTTGTTGGAAAAAAAAAAAGTAAAAATTTACCAACTTCAGTAAATGAGGGATTAGAATAACAAGATAAAAATTGAATAAGGTAGTCAATAACTAATTAGGTATTACAATAAATTCACAAAGAGCACTATCAAACACTGAAAAGGGTTTCAGAGGTTGGGGAAACCTTGGAGATGTTCAAAGCTCCTCTGACAATGTCTTCAGCAACCTGATCTAACACTAAA